AACAAAATCTAACTGAAATTTTGTAACTGTATAAAATCTAATGCTTCAACATAGAAAATATAGTGAACTTTCCAGTATTCCATGTGTCCAAAGGGGTGTGTGTGTATGTGTGTGTGTTTCTGGAGACCAAACTGAGATATCTCCCAGGGCTTTTGCACTGACCTAGTGTGCACCCTAAAATTTTGGGACAAAGTCTTGTTAAGTTGCTGAGATTGGACTCAAACTTGCAATCTTCCTCCCAGAGTTCTGGGATTACAATCCAGTTTGTCCACAGTTTTTTTTTTTTTTTTTTAAACAAGCAGAAGGGAATTCTGCTAAAAAGTAGGACAGTTTACGCTCAATCTTAGTTTCAGAAATTTTAAATATTATAGCAGGTAACTTGAATTAAGTTTAGAACTGGGAGAAAGTGCAAGTTTTAAAAAATTGATCTCATTTTATTTTTGACGAAAGTAAGACACTACTTTTTTCTCCAAAAACAATTTAAAGTTTCCTGAACGTCAAATGATTTTGTCCAAACCAAATGAAGATGATTTTTCTTCTGGGAAACAAAAACAGTCAAGGAATCCAGAGCTTTCTTACCATTGTATACAGAACAGTACTTGAGACACAAAATAAGTAAGTCCTATTATCAGTTGGTTTTGAGGAGGACACATAGGGTTTGTTTCCATTTATCTTTGAACTGGCCATGGGAATTCCCTAAGCAGAAGATGACAATTAATGATCCCTCTTTTTTTAGTAGCACAGGTTTGTGGTACATAATGAAAGCTCTCATTGTGGATAGTTGGTACATATACATAATCATCTTAGTCCTTTTTACATTCCCTCCCTCTCCATCCTCTAGCCCTATGTACTCTTTCCATGTACAAAAGGTCTACCTCCCTGATTCTTACCAATTATTTTGCTGTTCAAATTACTTTGGATTTTTCATACTAGAGAAACTATATATTTAATCTGTGTCTTAATTTACTTCGTTTAGTGTTATGGTCTCAAGATGCACCCATTTTCCTATATATGTCTCAAATTTATCCTTTATGCCTTAGTAGTAGTCCAGTTCGTGCGTGTGCGCGCGTGCACACACACACCCCACATCACATTTTCATTATCCTTTCATCTGGATTAGTGGACACAATCCTCTTGTTTGTGAATAGACCGGTTCTTCCACTCTGATACGCCCACTCATTCTTTGGGGCCACCCAGGGGGAGGTATTGCACAGCATGAACCCTGGAACCCAAACTGTGTCAGCTCAGCTGTGCCCCTTGCAGGAAGCTCCCCTGAGGGCAGAGCTGAGCCGGTGCCTCTGCAGCTGACAGATTCTACATTCTCACATTCTACATTGAGACATTTCCCCCTAACCTGTTCCAGAAGCAGATTTTCATGGTTCCTGTGAGGAGTTTTCCTAAGGGGCACTTTACTGGTTTATTATAAAGAATATTACAACGGATACAGACAAAGAGACTTGGAACTTCTCTGGGCACATCATCTCCGGGAACCTCTGCATGTTCAGCTGTCTGCAAGTTCCAAGCCAGTTAGTTTTTTTCTTTTCTTCCATTTCTTCTTCCTTCCTTTCCAAACTCCTTCCCCTTCCCTCCTTTCCTCTCACAAAGATTGTACCCATTTGTGAGGTACCATGTGATTTTTTTTTCCAGTACACATGTACATTATATAATGTTTGAAGTATCTCAAATATCATTTATGGTAAAACATTCAAAATCCTTTCTGAGGCTGGGCATGGTTGGTGTACACCTGTAATCCTAGCACTCAGGAGGCTGAGGCCAGAGGATCGCTTTGAGTTCAAGACCAACCTCGTCTACAAAGTGAGTTCAAGGCCATCCAGAACTGCACAGTGAAACCCTGTCTCAAAAAGAAAAAAATTCTTTTTGGGTTTTTAAAAAATATGTAACATTATAGTCAGTGCATAATAGGACACCAAAACTTATTTCTCTTTTCTGGCTACAACTAAGGACAATTCATTAATGTGTACCATTCTACCTTTGTGGTAAAAGTTCATAGGACTAGGAGTGTGGCTCAGTGGTAGAGTTCTAGTCTGGCATATAAGAAGCCCACAGGATGATCACCAGTACTATAAAAAGAAGTTCATAAAGTTATGTATTCTACCTTCATCACTGACAGGAAGAAAACTTTTTAAATCCTCCTAAAAGGGATGTTGTGGTACACTCTAGTAATCCCAGCTACGGAAGAGGCTGAGGCACAATCATAAGTTGAGTCCAGCCTGGGCAATTGAGACCCTATCTCAAAATTAAGAACGGCTGGGGACATAGCTTAGTGGTAGAGTGCTTACCTAGTATGCTTGTGGTTCTGTGTTCAATTCCCTGTACTGGGGTAAAAAAAGATCCTCTGAATTACAAGATGCATTTTTTTGTTGCAGTGCACTAGACAAAATTGTCAAATGTTTTATTTCAATAATGTCTGGATTCATATGTCTTTATGCTATGCGTTTGTACTACAGAAGCGTAGGGGTAAATGGATTTTTTAAGGTTTATACACACACACAATAAAGATACAAAGACAAAAAACAAAAGGTTCACACAGAAAAAAAAAAGGACTGAAGTATTTGCTCTCTGAGCCCTCTGTTGGAGATTTGAACGAAGAGGGTGGGGTAAAAGGCAGTGCAGGGTTCTCTAGCAGAACCTTAACAGGTCTGGTACAATTTTCCCTTTACTTCTATTTTGTTTTTCTCAAATTTTATTTTTTAAATTTTCTTTTCAAATTTTATTTTTAAATATGTAACTTTTTAAAAAATTGTGCTGTCAAAGGGTATAATCAACAGAGTGAAAAAGCAACCCATCAAATGGGGAGAAATATTTACAAAGTTTACCAAATAAGGGATTAATATCTACGCTATATAGAGAATTCCTAAAATGCAGTAACATTTAAAGAAACTAAGATGTTCAAAGGACTTGGAAAGCCATTTCTCCCGAGAAGATCACAGATGGCAGTAAGCACATGAAAAGCTGTTGGGCTGAGTGCAAGGCACACATTTGAATTTGAGCTACTTGGAAGGCAGCTCAGGAATTTTAGGCCACATTGGGCACATAGTGGAACCTTCTGTCAGGAGAGAGAAGGGAGAAGGGGGAGAAAGAGAGAGAGCAGGAGAGACGGAGGGGGAAGGAGAGAGAAATCAACATCACTAGTCATGAGAGAAATACAAATCAAAGCCACTTCTATCAAAATGTAATGTCAGTACTGTGGAGAAATTGGGATTCTTGTGCAGGACCGGGAATGTAAAACAGTGCAGTCTCCCTGGGAAGCAGTGAAACGTTTTCTCAAAAAATTGAATTACCACATTCAGCAATCCCAATTTGAAGAACTGAAAGCAGGACACCCACAAGTATTTTTTTTTTTTCCAAATCCATTTTATTCAAACATGAAAAAAAATACAACATTTCAAAGCATGTCAATCAGGAGGTAACAATGGCATGTACATTGCACACTGTCATCCCCATATAAGTATTTCTACATACATCCATGGTAACTGGCAATTTCACAAGAGCTAAAAGGCAGAACTGACCCAATGAATGAATAAACTGCTGTGATGGTTAATTTTGGTTATTAACTTGACCAGATTTGAGAGATCCTTACAGACACTGGTATGTGTGTCAGCAAACTGAGTGGGGAAGACCCACCTTAAATGTTGGTGGCACTGTCCGTAGTGGGGGTCCGGGTGAAGGGGAAAGGAGGAAGGGAGTTCCCACAGCTTGACTCTTCTTGAATGGGTGTGTTTTTGCTGCTGCCATTCCCAGTGGATACCAGATTCCAGATTCTTTTGAATGTGCACCTACACCAGTGACTCTAGTGGCTTCCTACCTTCGGTAAATCCACTGTTGCCGCTGTACTCATCATTAATTGGTTCCAGGGGCACTAGTACCAAATTATTTTGGTTGGAAAGACAAGTGAATTTTGAGGCAATGGATAGTGATAAGTTTTAACTTTTGCATTCAGTATGAAATAAATACTGGGACAAAAATTTTTTTGTCAGAGTGCTTTGAGTACCACATTCAACGAGTTTCAAAGCAGCTATATTCCCAAGATATGACTATATATATATATATATATATATATATATATAATTGGTTCTGTTCCCCAGGAGAACCCTAAAACAACTATGGTACATATATACAACAGACTATTACACAGGTTTTAAAAAGGAATCTGACAGCTCCATAAAACTCTGTCATCTCTTATCTGGAGGGTTTTTGGAGATTGCAAGGTCAGGAGTTAATAACAGAAACAAAATTTAAAAACTATTCTGGCCAGCTTTGGTGGCATGCCTCAACAACCTCTGCACTCTAGAAGGCTGAAGCAAGAGAATCATAAGTTTGAGCCTAGCCAAGGCAATTTAGCAATTTAGTAAGACATCTCAAAACCAAAACAAAACCAAAAAACAAACAAAAACGCTGGGAATGTAGTTCAGGGAAATGCCCTAGGCCGAATCATCAATACCAGAAAAAGAGAGGAAAAAAAGAAAGAATGCTATTTTCAGCAACAGAATCTAAAGTGTGCAGATTCCCACTTGCTCGTGCATTACTTAATGGGGACATGCTGAAGTACCTAAGGCCGGGGGTGGGGTGGGAGTACACTGAACGGGTGCAGGTGGTAACACCATGTGAATACGCGTTTATATTGTCAAGGAATGTTTTAATAAGAATTTCAGTTTTGGGTACTGATGGTGTGGCTTTTTGTCTCTTCCTTGAGTTAATATCGTTTCTATTTTTGGTTTACAAAGCCAGAGTAACTGTTTATACTACCCGGACTCTTCACTTTAGGATTCTGTTCTCTATTATGCTTACTAGTAAGACCTATCCTTATTACCTCATTTAAAAAAATTAGCTCAAAATAAATTTACGGTTTTTTGGCAAATGTTATAAACTAGAATTTGTAAAACAACAGTTACAGAATACACTTCACATGCATTTTAGGTACTGCATTTCACTTGCAGATATGGTTTCTCCGTAAATAAAAAGCAAGGCCCTGGTTTGAAACTCAAGGGCACCGACCGGCCCCGCCCCCTTCGGCGGACCAATCAGCGGCACGCGTAGGCGGGGAGTTCAGCCGCCGGCCGATCTAGTCGATCTGCAGGCCCTAGTGGCCTGCGCGCGCCGGAGAGCTGTAAGTGCGCGGCTAGTAGTGGTTTCCTGCCCGTCTGCTAGGGATCTTCCCGGAGAGGAGGGCGGGGTACTCGGGATGTGAGTCCGAGGGGTCGGGTGCCTTTGTGCATGCCCAGGGCCGCGGGTTCGGGAACTCGGGGGAGGCGGCGGCCGTTCCTGGGCGCGGCTCCTGGGGCCTGGAGTGATTTCTCGCCTTTCGGTATCCGCGCGCCGCCAGAGCCGGGGAGGAGGCACTGCTGGAGCCCAGCGACCCCAAGCGGACGTTGCTTTTTGTTGGTATTGGTTATTTCTGAAAACAGGCAAAATTTGAACAAACAAGACAGCAGAATAGTATATATTTAATTGTAGTTTACATTTGAAAACTCCAGGTTTAATTTGACTGTAAAAAGTTAAATACCGTAAGTTTTTCTATTTATAATGGGTGATGAAAATCAGTTCAGGTTTTCTCAAATACAGTGACTATGAAAAGTATGTTTCCTAGATTAGTGTCGTCATCTGCAAACCTGTTAGAAATACACATTCTTGTAAGATTGAGAGCCACGGCCCCAGGAAACTACACGAACACGCGCGAACGAAATTGCAGCCCTGACTTATATGCCATGATAGACAAGCACAGAATTTGGTGCTATTCAAGTTAAAGTTACTATCTTCCCGTTGTACGTGTAACTTCGTTAAAATCGGAGTTTTGCTGAGTTTCCACTAGTGGCTGGCAGTCCCCGGAGATCTTTCTGAAAGCTCTTCAGTCTAATGGCCCCTGTTCCAAAAACACTTTTCAATTTTCCCTGTCTGGAGAGGTGGATCCAGAAACTCCCTCCCCAACTAAGATACCATCGTCTCTGAGAAAGTTTTCAGCACTTCCCTCCATTCTTCGACAATTTATGAGCCCATGGCCTTAGCCAAGTTACTCGAATGAGTAGTAGCTTCCAAGGATTTTTGTGAGGATAAATGAATCAGTGCATCAACAAAATATTCGCTGCGATCATTGTGTATAATTTTGGTATTATTAGTACTAGAGTCAGGCAGATGAAAAAATGGGTAAGAGTGGTAGAAAAGTGGGGGAAAGAGTCCAGTAACCGGTGACAAGTCATAAAGTGACACAGGTGCCACCAGTTTCACTGTAAAGTAAATTAACGTAAATCTACACAGGATGGGTACTTTTAAGTAATCCTTTGCCATTAGCTTGATCTGCGGACACCTGGTCTGTTGTGGTAGCAGAAGCTTGTTAGAAATGCAGGATCTCAGACTCCATCGGGTTTATTTACAAGGTCTTTTTGGAAGTGTGAATTCTTTCAAGACTGTTCCTAACCTTAATTCTGTTTTTCCTTCCAGTAAAGTACTCAGTTATTCAGTATTTCTAAGTTTCAAGAGTTTGACAGTGGTCCTAATATATTTATATATACATATACATGTACCTATATATGTGTTTTTTACATTTTTAGAAAAAATTTTAAAAGGAATAAATTTACGAGGAGTTGATTTAGAAAGTTTGTTCAGGGGCTGGGGATTTAGCTCAGCAGCATAAGCACCTGCCTTGCAAGCAAGCAGTTGTGAGTTCGATCCGTGGTACCGATAAAAAGGAAAAAGATAAAAAAAAAAGAAAGTTTGTTCAATTCCTGTGTTCATTGTTTTATGCCTCATTATAGTCAAACTTCCTCAACACATCAGAAGTCTATAGTTTGTTGACTTTTTTAGTCCTATGTTTAAGAAAACTGTATTAGTTTGCTGGAACTGCCATAATAAAGAGCTGCAGATTGGGTAGCTTAAACAACGATTTTAATTTTTTACAATTCTGGAGACTAGAAGACAAAGCTGTAGTTTGTACATGGCCTGTGTCTTCATATCCTTTTACTTCTGATCTATCTGGCCAAATGTCCTTGTAGAACGTCAATCATATAGATTGGGGTCTACCCTACTGACAGCATTTTAACTTACTTTTTTGGGTTTTTTTGTACTGGCAATTAAACTCATGATCTTGTGCTTGCCAAGCAGGTGTTGTGCTGCTGAACTATATCCTGGGCCCTTAAATTAATTCTTTAAAAACCTTGTCTCTAAATACATTCATATTACTAGGTCTTAGATTAGCAATTCAAAATATAAATTTTGAGGGTGATGTAATTCAATCCATAACAATATGTGAATCTTATGCCTCTTAAATTTTTTTTGTTAAATAAACATCCACAAAGTCTTGTAAAATGTCACTATCTGTCTCTCTGTCTTTCTCTGACTCTCTGTTCTTCTGTCTTTTTTTTGTCTTTTTCCTTTTAATTGGTACTGGGGATTGAACTCACGACTGCCTGCTTGCAAGGCAGGCGCTTATGCCGCTGAGCTAAATCCCCAGCCCACTCCATTGACTCTTTTCAGGTTTTCCTAATCAAATGAACTTTCTTTATTCTTTAAACCTCTAAAATCCTTTGGATCCTTGCTATGGCTTTGATCATTTGAATTTGTTGGTTACCAAATATTTATCGACTCATTTGTCATCTACTAAGCTGGATGTTGGGCTTGGAGAGATGGAGAGGTGAGTGGAGGGGTGGATTTAGACTTGGGTAAGAGGTTACCTTTCCATGGAGTTTATGTAATTGTACTGTATTGTGGTTTTCAACTTTGGAGGCACACTGGAATCACTTGTGGAGCTTTAAGAATCCCAATGCCTGGGCCCCAGCTTCAGCGATTCTGACTTAGTTGATCTAGGACGTGGCCAGAACATTGGGTGTTTTAGAAGTGTCTAAGGTGACACTTGTATAGCAAGGGCTGGGAACCTCTGTGTTAATGAAAGAGACAAATCAATAAAAGACTCTTTCAACATGTGTTTGCTAGAAGAATAAACCCAGGGAGCAGAGGAATCTTTGGTTTTGACTGGAGTAACTTTTGTGTTTTTAAGGCTCCTGGTGTATTTATGGGCTCCCTTATTTGTAGGGAGGCAGATTCCTTACCTTATATGTGGTAGAAATGAGGTAGGCTGTCTAACAGAACTTTCTGTGCCAGTGAAAATGTTCTACATTTGTGATATCCAGTGTTACGCAGCGATTTCAGAAATAAAATCAGTCCCTCATTTCCGCTACTACATTTCAAGAACTCAGTCACAACATGTGGCCAGTGGCGTTTGCATTGTGTAGTATGTTACACAGAGGCTTAGGTGAAGCAGGTTATTTTCCCTGAATGGTTTTGAAATTCATTCTTCACATCTGAATCTTAATTTCATGTTTTTCTTCCATTTGTTAAACTAGGGAGAGAATTTTGATTATATGTGTGTGTGTGTGTATGTGTGTGTTTGTGTGTGTGTGTGTGATATGTTAGCAAATTTATTGAGCTTTAAGTTACATTCTTTACAAATCATCCTAATTGGCTTAGTTTTAAAATCAGGTAATACTTCACAACATTATGTTATGGAATGTTATTAAAGTGTGAAATTTGGTGGTTTTTAATATTTGATTTTTTGGTTTTTTGAGACAAGATCTTGCTAGGTGGTTCAGGCTGGGTTTGCACTCACTAGGTAGCCTAGCCAGCCTCTAAACTCACGGTGACTCTTGCTCAGGCACCAAAGTGTTAGAATTACAGATGTGCACCGCCATGCCTGGCTCTGTGGTCAGTGTGTACACAGTTATGTCCAACCATTACCACAGTTTTAGAACATTTTTCATTACTTGTACCTGTTAGCTGCCATGCCTTTATATCCCTGTGTGTACAGCATTAAGCACCCATTAACCTACTTTCTGTTGCTATAAATTTACCTATTCTAGACATTTCGTGTGAATGGAATCATGTGCTGTATAGTCTTCTGTGACTGGCTTTTCTTACATAGTGTAACACTTTTAAGGTTTGTTCATGTTGTGACATGGTATCAGTATTTCCTTTTTATGGTTAAATAATATTTATTGTATGGCTTACCATATTTTACTTTCCCAGTCATTAACTGATGGAAATTTTTCTCCCCACTCTTTTGGCTGTTTGGAAAAAGTGTGGCTATAAACATTCCTATACAAATTTTAGTGTGGACATATATTTTTATTTCTCTTGGGCATATACCAATTAATAAAGTTGCTGGGTTCAGTGAGAATGTTGTACATATATGTGTATTTTATACATGGATGCCATTTTATTTTTATTTCATGTTCCTTCTTTAGTTACTATGCAGAAACTATCTTGGTATGGTGGAGGCTGAGGCAGGAAGATTGCTGTTCACATCAAAGCCTGCTTGGGCTACATAGTGAATTCAGAAACAGCCTGGACTACATAGTGAGACCTTGTCTCAAAAAATGAAACAAAAGTGTGATCTCAACACTAGGAGGAAGTAGTTTGTATTATAAAAATAGTTATCTTTTATTATAGCTGTTACCATTTTTTTAGCCTTACAGGATGCTGTGTTCCCTGCTCCTTTGCGAGTGTCTGCTGCTGCTCACTAGCTATGCTCATGATGATGAATGGATCGATCCCACAGACATGCTCAACTATGACGCTGCTTCAGGAACCATGAGAAAGTCTCAGGTGTTAAAAGTGGGATGTGGGGGCTGGAGGTTTAGCTCAGCGGCATAAGTGCCTGCCTTGTAAGCAGGCAGTTGTGAGTTCGATCCCCGGTACCGATAAAAAGGAAAAAGACAAAAAAAAAAAAAAAAAAAAACAACTGGGATGTGTTAGTCTTGTGATGAAAATACTGTTTTTATTATTTTACATGGAGTCATGAAAGCAGTATATTAATGATGAGCAGTTATGCAGAATACATTTCTTTTTTTTTCTTATGGTAGTGGAGATCAAACCTGGGACCCTATCATTGCACTACAGCCCAGCCCCAGAATGCTTACTAATATTCTTAAGAGTACTTCAAACCACTTGGTTATTTGTTTTGAATTTGAATGTAAAACCCATCAATCTGTAAGCCAGTTTGATGTTAGTTCTTCATTACATTTGAGATTTTTACTTTTTGGTGGCTCAATATAAGAGAAGAATATGCTATATTCTTTTTTTTTGGTACCGGAATCAAACTCAGGATCTTATGCTTGTCAGGCAGGCCCTGTGCCGCTGAGCTTTAGTCTCAGCCCTACAAGAGAAGCTTTAATGAGACAAGTCATAAAATGATGAAGTCAGAATTTTAGTCTTCATTAACTGAAGATTATTTTTATAGCTGAACTATAAAGAAATCTCTCTACTTTGTTTTAGGTGAAATATGGTATATCAGAGAAAAAAGATGTCAGTCCTGACTTGTCATGTGCTGAGGAAATGTCAGAATGTTACAGCAGACTTGATTCTTTAACTCATAAGGTAAGGTGTTTTCCATTCATGTTATTATGTTACGTTGTTGGGTCTTTGGTAATGTATTTCTGTATACTGTAAAATTTATAATTTTTTTTAGTTGCTTTAGTCTTGGTCTACTCTAATAGTATTTTTAAATAACATTTATCATGTTACATTGTAATTATTCCCTTCCCAAACTTTAGACTTGTTGGCCTAAGGAAAATACTTTATTCATCTTTATTCCGTGCCGTGTAGCACAGCACTGGGCAGGGTAGAATCAAGGCATAAATGCTGCACATGAAGAAACTGGCGTAGTGGTAGTTTTTAAACATAAAAGTCACTCCTAGAAATATAAAAAATGTTAATTCAGTGTATGTGTCTGGTCATTCCTTCTCTTACTTCGGCCTTTTAAAAACAGTTGGCTACTGAGGAAGTAGGGTTATTAACGGGTCAGCAGCTTCACTGGCGCCGGGAGCGGCCCTCACCGCAGGCTGTGCAGGCAGTGAGCTGACCGCGGGGCCAGGCGGGCCAGGAGGGAGAGCAGGGTAGTTGCGTAGGCTTTTGGAGTCGAAAAGGTCCAGCAGTGCTGAAGACACCCTGGACGGGTGAAGGGAGGAGGCAAGAGTGAGACTTGTGAGAGGTAGAGTGGGTGAGTGCTGGTAGCTGAGGGAAGGTGGGGTGGGGGAAGAGCCTGAGGACTGGAGAGTTCCTTAACTGACATGCAGATGTACCCGAGTTTAGGCCTATAAGCACCTGCGTGTGTTTCTTACCAGATGCTAACAAAGGAACGCTGCATATCATTTGCTCTAGTTTTGTAGTGTAACGAGCTAGTTCGATTGCACGGTAAGAAATTCGGCAATGCCTTTTTTATGATTTTAGCTCAAACATTGTAAAAGTTATGAGTGGTAAAATACATATATGTGTAATCTTAAGTCCTTTTTTTTTTTTTTTTGTGGTGCTGGGGATCAAAACTGAATGCCTTGCATACGCTAGTCAAGTGTTCTACTCAAGGCACCCTCAAATCCATAATGAACCAAAAAAAAGACGTTTTCAATTTTTAAAAATAAGCTAAGTATGGTGGCACAGACCTGTAAATTCCGTAATTCTGGGAGACTGAGGCAGGAGGACAGCAGGGACCACTGAGTGACTTAGTGAGGAGATTTGAAGAAAAAAAGACACAACATACAAGACTCAAGGTGCACATTCCCTATGATGAATGTGATCTTATGTTTATCTAAAATATACTAGTAAAATTAATTTAAAACAAAATTGATAAAAGGGGGGCTGGAGCTCACAATAAAATTCAACACAGAGGCCTTGGTACAATTCCTGTGTTTAAATTCCAGTACCAAAAAAGAAAAGTATATATATATATACTTATTGATTTTTAATGAACTGGTTTATCAAATTTGCCTTGAAAGCCTGAAAAACAGTTTTGCAGACTGGTAAGTCTGTGTGTGCACTGCCTGATTATTGTCATGTTGTCAGTTGAGGCCTTTCAGTACCAACTGAACTCATGGCCCACATTTAAAAGTTTAAGTTGATTATTACAAGCCTATTTTAGTATTTGTAAAGTATCTACTACTCTCACTCAGCAGTTTGACCACTGTGGTAGAACTAAATTTAAAAGTTTGTTCTTTCTAATGAAGAATTATGGTTGGCAGTGGTAGTGTGTGTCTGTAAATTCATGCTACTCAGGAGCCTGAAGCAGGAGGATTTTGAGACTAGCCTGGGTAAGTTAGTGAGATGCTGTCTCAACATAAAACTGACTGAGGATGTAGATCAGTGGTAGAGTACTTGTCTAACATGCACAAGGCCCTAAATTCAATTACCAACACTGGGGCAGGGCAGATTAAGTACTGAAATTTATGGAAAGATTGCCATTTGTAGGAGACTCTGGAAAATCCACAGATCTTGCCTTTTTGAGCATTCCGTGTAGTCCTGGATGGTTCACTGAGAGAAATAGGTCAAAGCTAATATGCACGTGCAGGAAGTTCTTTGCAGTGTTCTTCGTTTCATCCTCTGTCTTTTTGTCTCCCCTCTGTATTTGCCCTCCCTTTTCTCCTTTCCTTCTTCCATTAAACCTCTGCTTTGAAATTACAAAGAGATGAATTGGTGCAGGCGCTGCTGATCTCCCTTTCCTTGTTGCGTGATCCTCAGCTTTAAAAAGCTGAAAGGCAGCAGAAAAAACAGCCAGGTCAGGGCTAACCACTGGACTTGTGTTCCTCATTTGTTGACTTCTGCTCTTTGCAAAGAGTCCATGGGAAGCAGGCAAATTCTGCACTGTAATGTAGTTGACAAATACAAGATGTGTTAAAAATATGATGAGCATTTAAGTTAAAAAATCCAAGCATTACATTAGAAGACACATTGCCAGCTATTAGTCCCCCTCGTAATAACCCTCCCCTCCTTGAACATGTAGTTATTCCGTGGTTCTTGCCACTTTCTGAGACAGTTTTGGAAGTCCTGTTTCATGAGTGCCTTCATTGTGCAGTTGTGGCTGCCTCAGTGGGTGTCTTTTTTTAAAAAAATTTTTATTAAGGTGAAGACAAATAAATCAGATATTTTGTGTGATTAATAAAAAGAAATAAAACATTTTAGGATAACTGAGGGTATTTGCAAAAAATTCTATGAACCTTTGTTGACAGTAATAATTTTATAGTGTCTTTATAGGTCTCCTCTATATGAGTAATGTTTGTAATATTTTCAAAATAGTCACATATGTAAGATTTCACTTAACTATGATTATTTTAACATATTTGACAATATTCATGAATACTAAATGCTTTCCCACATTGCATACATAGGCTAAGGAAACAATATGGTATCACTCAGAAGAATAGCATCTTTCAACTGAACTTTTACCAAATATTTCTCACATGCAGTTACTCCCAGCATGAGGGGAATCTTATGCTTGCAAAAGGGAAACACTGCAGCAAATGTTTTCCACATGACCTACATACAGAGGATTTCTTCATTGTGTGCATTATCCCTCTATTTGATGGCACTTTTGTGCACTAAATGGTATTCAACATTGTTTAAATTCATAGAATTACTACACAGAGGGAATTTTCTCATGTAGTGACAATATCTCTGGTTGTGGAAAGTTTTTCTGACATTCCTTATGTTCATAGGGTTTCTTCGCGTGTGGATATTTTGTGTTTATAAAGTGAGAATTTATCAAAAATCCATTTTCTCATTTCTCAGATTCGTAGTTTTTTTGCAGAGTGAATTCTTTTATATATGCAAAAGATGCTACTATAGCTGAAAGACATCTGTAATATCTACGTAGATAGGGTTTATTTTCAACACTTCTATATACTGAATGCTTTGCCACATTGTTTGTATCCATAGAGGTTCTATCCCATGTGATTTCTTTCATGTATAATAAGGGTACCATTTTGAATGAAAGATTTCCCATATGGCTTACATATATATTGTTTCTCCCCAGTGTGAATTCTATCACGTGCTTTACAATCAGAGTCTGTACTGAATGTTTTCCCACATTTGTTGCATACATAGGGTTTTTCCTGTGTGGATTCTTTCATGTGTAATAAGTTTATCACTTCGATGGAAAGATTTCCCACATTAGTTGCATACAAAGGATTTTTCCCCCTTGTGAATTCTATCAGGTTCTTTAAAATCAGAAGATGTACTCAATGCTTTCCCACTTTTGTTGCATACATAGGATTTCTCCCAGTGTGAATTCTACCATGTGCTTTACAAGCAGAAGCTGTACTGAATGCTTTCCCACATTTGTTGCACGCATGGTGTTTCTCCCCAGTGTGAATCCTTTTATGTCTTTGACAGCTACTGCCTGTACTGTAGGCTTTCCCACATACCTTGCGTAAATATAGTTGCTTTCCAGTGTGAATTTATGTTTTTTAAAAGAATTACTATAAAGGAATGTTTCTGCACATTTTTCAGTTATATGGTATTTCTCACCATCATCTTTTCTAACATTTTTTTCAATATGGTATAAAGAAATAGATTTATTCTCATAATATTTGTGTACATATAAGCTCCTTGAACTGTTATTGCTCTTGTGGATTTGAAAATTGTTAGGTGTTGTGTAAGCTTTCTCATTTTTCTTACCTACAAGTGTTTTGTGCCCAGGGTGAGTTTGTTCACTAAGATCAGAGCTGTCCTCCCCACACTGCCCATATTGACAGGGTCTCTCTCCAGTCTTCCTCATTTCATGCTTCTGAAAGGACTGGAAATCTCTGCAGGTATCCACATTTTCATTACATTTATATGGCTGCTCTTCAATTCTCAAATAACTATCTTCATCATATCTTAGACTTCTTGAGCAGTTTTTGTCCTCTTCATTAATTTTCTGGTTATTCCATATTCTTTCTGTAGCATTAATATTCATATATGTTTCCCACATCACACCTCTGTAGAGCTTCTTTTGGGATGGAGTCAGCAAGTCCCACTCTTCTGGGGTGAACATCACAGCTACATCCTCAAAGGTCACTGTCTCCATTGCTATGTGTGAGGGTGTCCAAGGATCCTTTGTAGCCTTCAGTAAGAAGTCACAGAAACCAAAGGTTCACGCAGCTCCAGGATCGCAGCATGGAATTCAAAGGCAGCATGGAATTCACAAGGAGCACTTCTGCCCCCTTAGTCCACCTGATCTCAGTGGGTGTCTTGAACGTCTTCCTTTCATGATCGTGTTGACTTTCAGGAAGAGCCGGAGGTTGCATCGTGCCAGATCTGGTGAATGAGGTGGATGAGGAGCACCGGGAGTCTTTAGAAGGCCGCCTGTCTACTGGGTGGCACTTGGGAGCAGCAGTCACTGTAATTTTGATCAGGCCTCATAAAGACACTCAGGAAGAGGACTTCCAAACTTACTTCAGAGAATGGCAAGAACCATGGGATAAATGTGTTTTCAAGGCAAAGGAGAATTTTTAGAGGGGAATTAATGGCAACATGTCTTGTACTGTAATTCTTTTGTATTTAATTCCACATATAGTTTGATCACATGTCATACAAGCTTGATAGAAAAAACTAACTGCTTACTTTGACTGTGATGGGGTCACCACATTAAAAACTCAACTCGTATGTTAAAATGTAATACTCATGAATGTTGAATTTATTGTGTGATTACAGATTGATGAGTGTGAAAAGAAAAAGAGAGAAGACTATGAAAGTCAGAGTAATCCTGTTTTTAGGAGATACCTCAATAAGATTTTAATTGAAGCTGGAAAGCTTGGACTTGTAAGTATTTGGTGGTGTGACACTAATCAATGTAGTGGTTATTAATTTGGAATTGTATAAAGAAGTGATTAAGTGTTACTGTGCTTTAACGGAATATCTGACTCATCTTTTTCCCTACGAGGTGCGAAGTACCAGCCTGCTTTGCAGTGCCTTGTTGGAAGGCAAGCAATGCAGACCAGTTTTCTTTCCCTATTTCTGGGGATTTACTCAATCACCTCACTGCATTGTAGGACCACTAATTGAGGGGACAGAGTAGGTGATGATTCTGTCCTCACTACTTTCTACTAGTTTCATACTTTTTTAGTCATATGGTATACACTCATTACATGGGAAAGAAAAGAAAAATGTACTTGTATTTGTTTGTTTATTTTGTGGTACTGGGGAATTGAACCCAGGGACTTATGCATGCTAGGCAGGTTTTCTACTGCTGAGCTTTTGTTTTTTATTTTGAGAGAAGTTGCTTAGGCTGGCCTGCAGCTTGTGATCTTACTGCATTGCTCTCCTCAGTAGTTGGGATTTACAGGCATGCACCACTGTGCTCAGCCAAGAAAAACATTTTACATAGTTTTTTCGCATTATTTATTGTGGCAAATAATACATAATGTAGAATTACGTATCATATGCAAGTTACGAATCTTTTTTTGGCAGCACTAGGATCAAACCCAGGACCTTACACATGCTAGGCAAGAGTTTTACTACTGAGCTGTACCCTCAGCCCCTAATTTCTACTCTTTAGGGTCTCTGTTTTCACTTGAGTCAAAATACCAAGAAAGCTTAGAATTTTATAACTTATAACGTTTATAAAGTTCACTTTCAAGCACATAGGTGATTTTTATTGTGTACACCACTAAATGAGTCTAGAGAATCAGAGACCAGACTTTGTTTTGGTTTGGTCATTAGCTCCAGTCACTACAGTTGATCACAGGCAGATTGCTGAAAATGAAAGGCCATTGTATCAGGACGGGGCTGGCTGGCCAACCTGAGCTGTCCTCCAGTTCATTAAGAAGAGGTTAAAAGGGAAAAGTGTGTTAGATGTGTCAGTTCATAAGCTCACTCCCTTTTAGAAATGTAGAAGCAGATGTTCTCATTTGTACACCCTCTAACTTGAATCTTAACAGCTGTGTGCAGGATGAACTAGAGCCTAGAAAAAGAAATAGATGGAACCATAAACTATTAAAGATGGAGATGCTTTAAAATACTTAGTTCCTGATTTTAAAAGAAAGTTAATATTTATCAGTGATGACTTTTTATTTTTCCTTTAGCTTTGATTTATGCAGAAATACTTTAACTTCTCCTACATTTCTGAAGCATAGTTTTACCAAATCAGCAATTATCTAAATTGATAATTTTTATTTATTTCTCTTCTCTCAGCCCTTTAAATTTAAAACTTCAAGCTTTTTATGTGATCTGGCACTAGCCTATTATCCAACTTGCACTGAGAACTCCCCATTTCATTAAACCTTAGCCATACGGTCTCTGTGTTTCTTTTCTTTTTTCTTTTAAAGAGGATAAAACAGAATAAAACCAATCAAAACAAATCAGTGTAAGAGACACAGAACTTCAAAACATGAAATCAACAATAGTTATCACAATGCCTTTTGATGTCTTCAAAATAGGGGCAGATAACTGCATCATAGTAAAAATCAAACAGAAGAGAATAGAATAAAATAGAAACAATAAAAACAAGACAATGAATGCAATAAAGGACTTCAAAACAAGCCTATAGTAAATCCATAACTGCTACCATAATATATCTTGCTATCTTTGAAATAGCTGTTCCTGCCATCAGATTTTTTTTTTTTTTTGAAAGTAGTAAAAATGCAACAGGACAAGACAGAACAAAGCCAGTTGAGACAATGCAGTGAAATTGGTACAGGATTTCACAGTAGGATACTGGAACAGTAGTAATGTGTACTATGGTATATCTCTTTCACTTCACAATAATTGTCCAGTCAATTAGGTATAGCAAAATCAAACCAAAAATAGAACATTATAAAACCAATTGAGAATATTGAATAGAGCAAAAGAAACTTAACAACACAGTGAAAACAACCTATGCCTTTGAACAGAAGATAGAAGGAAATCCCCCATATTTGTTATACTGCATATGGTCATACTCCCAAGAGATGTTGAGACATCTATCCCCAGTAGCTATGAGGGGGGGGGGTGCTTGATTTTCAGCCCGCGTGGCAGTAGGCTCACAGGTAATGGTTCTCCTCCAGGCCCAGCCGTGGTGCTTACCAAGAGGGCAGGTGAATAAGCTGCTTGAGTCCCACCATGGCTGGATCTCGGGAGCTCTGTTCTCCTCCTGGTCCATGCCGCAGGCGCTTACCAAGAGGGCGGGTGAATAATCAGTGATGACTTTTTAACAAGTTCTCTGATGATACAGTATTTTGGTTTGTGAAATTTTGTTCGCTTTATCTGTATTTACTCTTGTAAAAGAAAAAGGAATCTTGTTTTGTTAGCTTGCTGTCACTATAATGAAATAGCTGAGACAGTAAACATAAAGGGAAAAGGTTTGACTTCCAGTTTTGGTTGGAGTTCAAGGTTGGACAGACTGTTGGTTTGGTCTTTGGTAGGTATCCCAGATGGTATTTGATAGCTGGAAGCCTGTTGGGGAGCAAACAGCTCATCTTATGGCCAGGAAGCAAAAAGGAAAGAGAAGGGGCTAAGGACCCATAATCCTTCAAGGCTGCACCCTCCAGTGACCTAACTTCTTCCCTCTGGACCTCTCCTCCTAGAAATTTCATTGTCTCCACTGAGTCCAGGCCTTTAGCACATGGACCTTTGGGGGATATTTACATCTGAAGTATAGCCTATATCAGCCAACAAATAGATGTAAAATAATGTTTACACTGATTCTGCTAAGCTGATCTCACACTAATAAAGATGGTTATAAATATTGTGTATTTTAAAGAAATTATTATTTTGCCTCTTTGAGATCCCTTTTATTTTTAAACTATTAAGAATTTTAAGCTATCACAAAATTGTGCCAGCAAATGGAAAGTCATAAACTGAATCATAAAGATACATAGTTGTTCCTCATTGTCGGCAGTTTCCATATTTATGAATTTACCTATTCACTAAAATTTCTTTTTGACCCCAAAATAAAAATTTGAAGCAATTTTGTGGTCATTCTTGGACATGTGCAGAGTGCAGACCATTTGAATTGCTTAGATATGCCTGTTCCCAGCTGAGGTGAAAGAAGGCAAACGGTCTTGTCTTCTTGTTTCAGCTATAGTACTGCTCACTGCTGCAGTTAGCGGGGGCTGTTTAGAGGTGACGTTTGTGGAGGGCAGGTAATTTCGTTGTTTGAATTTCCCCCAAATGTACTGTGAAAGCAAATGTATGTTAAGATTCATTCAGACTGGAATTTCAGGACTGTTAGCTCTGTGTTCAGTGGAACAATAGAATACAAGGTGCTGTGAGAACACACATGAAACAGTTACATATTAATTGGCTGATGAGCATTTCATAGGGCCTCAACCTTGTGTTTCCTTTAGGAGTAACAGTTAAGTACTTGCTAGTTAGTATGTTAAGTGACTTTGTAGAACAGAAGTGCTGCAAATAAAGGACATCAACTGTGTTTTACAGTACAAAATGTACAGTATCTTACGGAGAAATGTTTTCAAACACTTTTCACATGTATTTGGCTTTCACATTGGCGTTTAAGACAGAGGTGGATGTTACTATATGTGTGAAATGCTGTAGACTAATTATAGTTGTTATTTTTGTGTGTGTGGCTTCGGGAATCATGCAAATTAATTATATATTGTGTTCCAAACTGGCTTTTTTCTTCATTTTCCAATGAGTAATGTAATCAATTTTTTTTCTGTTGTTTGGGGGAAATTTAATTCAGCCTAATGAAAACAAAGGTGATATGCACTATGATGCTGAGATTATCCTTAAAAGACAAACATTACTGGAAATACAGAGGTTCCTCGGTGGAGAAGACTGGAAACCAGGAGCCCTAGATGATGCTCTGAGTGAGATTTTGATTAACTTTAAGCTTCATGATTTTGAAACATGGAAGTGGCAATTTGAAGATGCCTTTGGAGTGGATTCACACAGCGTGTTGATGGTAAGATGGGCTCAGGGTGACATGATTAAGTTTCCTTTTTAAAAAAATATTTTCCAAATGCTGTCATAATTATTACGTTAAGAACCTGTACTTTGTCACTCACCAGAATAATGAACCAGCAGCAAACCTGGGCAAATGATTTTGGTTCCAGTTCTTTTGGTTTTATGGATCAGTACCCTTTCTGGTGGGAGGGCAGCTTCGTGGTGATCCTGACTCCAGCTTCTGTTCTGCAGGTGCTGCTGTGTCTGCTCTGCGTGGTGATGTTAGTGGCTACTGAGCTGTGGACACGTGTGCGTTGGTACACCCAGTTGAGACGTGTTTTTATCATCAGTTTCGTCTTCAGTGTGGGATGGAATTGGATGTATTTATATAAGGTATTAAATAGGTGCAGAGTTTAAAAATCGTTAAATGCAAACTCATAGTAAAAGAAGACTGTACTTACAGCAGTCTGGCTTCTGCTGTGGGAAGAGGGCAGTGTTTGGAGGTGGTCAGGGGGAAGGTATTAAATTGGCAATTTTTAGCTGTGTATGGTTTTTTGGGTCCTCAACCATTATAGGGAAAAGTGTAGTCCTGATTCTGATAACCAGTTCCTCCTGCTGGGTAGCATATGGGCAACCAGATTAACACAGAGCTAAGGGGACACATTTTAAACCTACTTAAGAACTCTGAAGAATTTGGAGTATGTCCTTTTTCAAATGATGTCCTTATTACAAATGATGTCAGAATGTCAATTTTTAAAAGTTAGGCTGTTTTTGAATATTAAGGGGTACGTTCGGGGGTGAGGATGCAGAGCAGTGGTAGTGTGTGCTGGCCTGGCCTGAGTAAGGTGTGGGGCTCAATCCGTAGCACCATTAAAAAAATGTTCACAGTATAGAGTTTGGAAATGACCTAAGTAATTTTAAAAATTCACCTATTATTTTATTACCTATGAGTAATTCATGTCAATGTTTTGACATTTTGTCTAATCTTTTTTCTAATTTTTAATTATTTTAAAATTAGAGCAGGATATGGTGGCATTTGCCTATAATACCAGCACTTAGAAAGCTGAGGCAGGAGGATTGCCTGAGTTCCAGTCCAGCCTGTGCTATATAGTGAGTTGAGTTCAAGGCTAGTCTGAATTCCACAGTGAGATCCTGTCTCAGAAAACCAAGCAAATAAAAATAAATAAAATAAAAACAATGGAACAGCCTGGTTTGGAGAAATGGAAAAGGCACATTGCACTGAGGTATTTTGATGTGTGAGCTAGCTTTCATGGTCACAGCCTCTCATGGTTCCTTTCTGGTGTTGTTCAGCTAGCTTTTGCACAGCATCAGGCTGAAATTGCCAAGATGGAGCCATTAGGAAATGCATGTGCAGAGAAGATGGATTGGACTGGCAGTCTCTGGGGTAAGGCGTTTGTTCATTTGTTCCTATTTTTAATAGAATTCTGAGAATGAGAGGAAATAGTTATCACAGAAAACATAATGAAATGCCAGAGGAGGCCTCCCATTACTGAAGCGTTAATACAAGAAGAATATATAGCTGAGGTAGCAGCTTGTACCTATAATCCCAGCATGTGGCAGGCTATCTTTAAAAAAGAGACCTGTAGCAAGAGGAGTTTAGATGTAAAGTAGTGACGTTTTAGGTTCATGTAAAGTCACAGGGAGGAATAGAAACTGTGTGTGTGTTGCTCTGATGGAGGGCAGGACTCCTGTAGAGTCCTGTTATGCTCACTCGCTTCCTTGGTCCTTGCCACAGTGCCTGATACTCTCTGGGTCCTCAACAGAATCTTACTAGAGGATTGAATGAGTGTGTATACAAGCTAAGAGCCGCCCTAGCCTTGATCTCATACTGACTTATGAAGTCTTGTGTTACACATTTGGTAAACAAAATGTTTTGGGGGGGGGTATGGGAGATTGATTAATGACTTTGTACTCACCAGGCGAGTGAGTGAGCTAAATCCCAGGCCCTTAATTTTTTTTAACAATAAAAAAATTATAAAATAATAAACTTTTTATTCTTACAGATTTTATAAGCATTTTCAGTATGGTTGATTGTCTTTAATTATCTATCTATATTTAGCTTTGGGAAATGTATAATGTTCAAAGGCACTTTATAAAGACAAGCCCATAATGACATACACACAATAGAATTTCAGTAGATTCTATAAATTGTGTTTTTTTTTTTCTTTTGTACCAGGAATCAAACTCATGACCTCACGTTTGCCAGGCAGGCATTTATGCCACTGGGCTAAATCTCCAGGCTTGTAAATTGTGTTTTAAAATTAAAGTTTTTAAAAAACATTTGTGAGAACTCCATCAATTTAGCTTTACTTTTTGGGTTCAGGAGATAGCAGAACGCTATAGAAAAGTTGAAAGAATTAGTATTCCATTTTATTTCGTAAAAATAATAAAAAGCTGACTTTTAAAATTGAAGTGTGGAGTTGTAGATTGCCAGGGAATTACAAGAAATAGAGCCTATCAACCTTTTATCCATTTCCTCCAGTGATCATATCTTACAAAGCCATCGTAGTACAACATGAGAGCCAGAATAGTAATTTGGATACAACTCACTAATCTTATTCAGATCTCTCCAGTTTTTTGCTTGTTACTTATTTGTGTGTATAAAAAACTACTTTTAATTATTTACCTTTCAGAAATCCTTACAAAGTAAAATCTTTTTGTCTCTGTAAGGTGGGTAATTATTTTGGACGTATGATTAAAAATTTTTAATCAACATGTATATTTAAAATTTAAAACAATTAAATGACTGGGGGATAGGCAAGAAGGATCAAAAAACCAAAATTATATTATTTGGGAATGAAATGCAACTTAAAAGAATGATTCAGTGTTTTGTCTGTCTGTTTCTCTAAATAGAATGGTTCAGAAGTTCATGGACCTATAAGGATGACCCATGCCAAAAATACTATGAGCTCTTATTAGTCAACCCTGTTTGGTTGGTTCCACCAACAAAGGTATAGAATGTATTTTGTAAAAATTACTTATATGCAGTGTATTAAAAATTCTTTGCATTTATAAGAAGTTTGTGTTTTTAAGAGTTGTTTTACTGATCTCTGTCATAGAAAATTCCATTGCACAGTGATTTTTGTAATTTCAGCTTCAATACGCACTAACTTTGGGCTTATTCTTTTTGTCTCAGTCCTTTGAGGAAAAAAATTAAATAACTTCTATCTTTTCTTTTAGGCACTGGCAGTGACATACACCAACTTTGTAACAGAACCATTAAAGCACATTGGAAAAGGAACTGGTGAATTTATTAAAGCGCTCATGAAGGAGATCCCAGTGTTACTTCAGATTCCTGTGCTGATAATTTTGGCACTGGCTGTCTTGGTTAGTATGCTAGCACCATTGATTAACAGAAAGAAAGGCAGTTCTCAAATTACTGGGTTTCTTTGCTGTTGCCTATCATGGTAAATCATGCTTACTGCTACAAGAAAGTGACTTTCAAGTAATATTTATACTTCCATGTATATTTCTGTAATCAAGGAAGTGCATCTCATCTGTGGATGTCACAGCAGTGGCTCAGAATAACTTAAGTGTTTTTCTTATTTTATGAAAAATAAAACAAATTTTCATAACCAAATAGTAAGAGAGTAACAATAGTTATTAAACTTATCTTCAAAGTGATTACTCAGTACAAGATACAAACCAAAAGGATTCTTACAAAAGGAAACAGATAATTTTAGATTTGGTGAGTATTAATTCAGGATGTGTAATATTTGGTATTAATTTACCAGAAGTCAGTTGATTACTCATCTTTGAGAACTGGAGCCTGCTTGGAGCCCTGGAAAGGGAAAGGCATTAGCTTGAACAGATTCAGAAAGGGATATAGAAGAAGCGGGGTGTGCTAAGAAACAGTTGGTGGGGGGCTGGGGATTCAGTGGCATAAGTGCCTGCCTTGCAAGCACGCCATTATGAGTTTGATCCCCAGTACCGAAAAGAAAAAGAAACGGGGGATCTAGAAGCAGGCATTTACTAAGAAGAACATTGTTCAGTATTTACCCGTGGTCTGTGCAGCTTTTTTGTTGTTGACTTTCAGTATTCAAAGAAGTGTTTGTCACAAAACAAAAAATAAAGAACTCAGATCTGCCATGACAAATTCTCCCTCAGGGTAGAGAATTCACTAGGCCTCATTCACCTTGCAAGTGTCCTTTTCTTTGGTTTTGTCTTTTGTTTGTGATTACAGGATCCAGTGACTTTGAGGTTTGGTTTTGTTAGGTGACATTAATTCTGTAGTAGTAGTTTAGTCTCAAATTGTGATGAAAAGCTGCATAGTTTTTTGTTTCATCTGCTTTCTTAAGAAAGTTATACTCCTGACTTTAGTTGCTTCTGTTGTCAGAGTGTATCTCTATACAGAGATTTTCTACTTTGTATTCCTAGGACTCTTGCCCATCTTTCTTTGTTTATTTCTTTTTTTCCTTCTTAAAGAGACAAGGTGTTACTGTGTTGCTCAGGCTGGCCTTGAACTCGTAGGCTCAAATAATCTGCTTGCCTTGGCCTCCCAAGTATGTATTCTTAAAAATAGAAGGCTACAGAGAGCTTCTGTTTGTGGGGTTGTATTTATTGATATTTATCATATTACTTGGAATTAAAACAGGAAATGTGAAATCAGAAGTGCACACAAACCACATCCCAGGAGCTGTCCGAGAGTGGATCTTAGCCCTGCCCCTGAATCACTCCACCGTGCACTCAGGGAGGGAGTGGAAGACGGATGATGAGTTTATACTGTGCAAGGTTTTGACTGCAAAGATGTCATGACAGAGTCTCAGCAGTTCTCTCAAGGGCCCCCTTGAGAACTGCTGCTTAGTTTATCCCATGAGATGTGAATGGGAAACAGGTGAATTTTAGGTGTATTTGTAAAAAAGTAAATCTAGTGGAGAGTAGTTACATTATGACATACAGTTTTAAATAATTTTTGGCATTTACTTTCTTTGGTATGAATACAGGAACATACAATAATTATCAATTAGCACTTTCTAATTTAAATTTCTAGGCCTCATTCTGCCCTTATATAAATCAATCAGAATGTCTAGCTGATTAAAATGTCTACTTAATACTGAGTGATTTATTCAGTGTTATTGGCCACGGTGGCCTATATGAAAGGTCTCTAGTGAAAAAACTGAAAGGAACATGTTGATGTCTGTAAATGATAGATATTGTTGGCATACTGAATAAAATACCTCCTAACTCCATTATAAATCGGCCATAAAGTCCTCAGAAATGTGTTTCTTTTCCTTACAGAGTTTCTGCTATGGTGCTGGAAGGTCAGTCAGTGTGATGAGACATTTAGGTGGTCCTGAGAGAGACCCTCCCCGGAGACTGGAGCCAGGTGGTAGAAGATGGCAGAATGCAATCGATGATAGACACCTTGGCGGAGCAGGTGATGCAGATTTGTATTACAGGGGCCGTGCTGGCTCCATTGAGCAAGGCCCTTATGACAAGACTCGTGAGTGTAGAAGAGATGTTTTGAGGGAGAGAGATGTTGACTTGAGATTTCAGAGTGGCAACAAGAGCCCTGAAGTGCTCCGGGCATTTGATTTACCAGACACAGAGGCACAAGAGCATCCCAAGGTGGTACCCAGTGTAAGTCAGCATCTGTTTACTTTGCTGTCCCTTCATGCTAGGCCTAAATGCTTCTTACTTCTAGAGCTTTTGATTGTTTTTACTCTTTACCCTTCACTATTAATCACGTCACTGGTGGTATACTTAGTTGCTGTCTCTTCCTCCTCTTGGTCAGAAGTTCAGTTTCTTCAGAAATACAATGACATTTAATTTTTATGCTAAATACAGTGGTGGAGAAGAGGCTTCACTGAAAGCCCGGCATGTTGGGGATGCAGTGGGGCTCTGCCGGCCCTGCTAGTGAGAACGACTGGCAGGGATCAGGCCTGGCTTTCCCAGCTCCGCCATCACTGGCTGGTTAGACTGTGCTTTCACCTCCAGAGTGGTGAGGAGATTCGTTATTTGGTTATTTTTAAAAAATGGAGCATTTTCATTTATGTTTCGAGAAAGGGTTTGATATTGTCATTTAGAGTTTTCAATTCCAACTGTAAACCTTTTGACAGTTTATATGAGCACAATATAATCTGGGAAATTGTAAAATCTCTTGTTGTAGAGTTCTAAAAGTAAACATTCTAGAATGCTTTTCCTCTGTGTGTCTGATACTGGTGACCAGTCCTCTTGACCCCTCCTAACCTTCGTCACTAGACCACCTATGATGTCCACACTCCCTCGGTCTACAGTTCTGTGAGGCTTTTATAATTATAACCCAGCACTGAAACCAGGGTTTGAAAGTGCTTGCAGCTTGCTACAATAGAACTTGTTAGATACGTTGATTATTAAACCTTTATATTATGCTATTTAAGTAGTAAAAATGTAATTCTGTACTTTGTAGAATAAGTCACCTCTTCTGGATACAAAGCCCAGAGAGATTGTTGAGATGGCAGGAGAAAGCAGCCAGTCTGCCGCTGCAGGGGCCCCTGAAGGCTCACCTGGCCTGGAAGAGACCCTGCTGGAGAGCAAAGCTGGAGGCCGCCCCCAGGAGGACACTGTCTGCAGTGCAGCACATGGAAGGGATCCTGTGAGCAGCCCCTGTGGCTAGAGCAACGGATGTGGGCCACAGCTCCGGTGTCTTCTTTTGAGTTTTGTAAAGTATATTCTTAACAAGTTTATTCACTCTTCCCTACATATATTGTGGTATTTGCTACAAAGGTGCCAATTTACCCATATTTTTAAAAATGAATATTCTGGCAAGTATATATTTGGATAATTAAGGTGACTGAATTAGGAGACACTGAAGAAGAAACTTCGTTTGCAGGCAGTGTGCATTCCCTAGTAGAGTCCTGTAACACCTGTTTTAGCTCACAGAATAACCCCTTAGCCAGTAGCCGTGCCACAGTGTCCGTCCCGCTGACACCCGTTTTTCTCTGCATGGGCCGGCACAGATCCGTGTGGCCTCCTGGTCTCCTCGCTGCTGTGGCTGTGATTGGCCCTGCTTCTTACACCTTTGTGTGGTACAGAAATGAAGATCAGCGTAGGAATTTACACGAGCACAGCTTGCTATATCCATAAGCCTGTTTTACACTGTCAGAACACTTTTGAGAAGGGCTATATTCTTTCTGCTCAATGAATCTTACAGGCTTTGTAAAATCTGTTTTTCTTCTTGCTCAGAAACCTAGCAATTGGCACTGTTAGGTATTACTGTAGCCTATTTATGACAGAGCATATTGTCTTGGCTATGTGATAATCGAATTTTTATAGATCTGACCTAGAGAACATTCTGATAAGGAAAACAGAATAGGGTGTTTTCATTACTGTAATAGGTAAATCAAAGTTTTTCATTTAACATTTAAAATCTGGTTTCCTGGTTTCATAGTTTTGAGGCAGGGTGTTGCTCTGTAGCATAGGCTGGCTGGCCTGGAACTTGCTGTGTATCCTACTTAACCCGGCCACGAGCTCATCATCCTGCCTCACCTCCTAGGTAGTGGGATTATAGGTGTATTCCATCACACCTGGCTAGTTCCCCTAATTTGAAAAAGCATTCTTGGGGATGCTGAGGCAGGAGGATTGCTACGAGGCCAGCCTGACTACATAGTGAAATCCTGTCTCAAAAAAAATCTTCATTTTAAATCTTTCTTAAAGCACTTTGGGCTGGGGATTTAGCTCAGTGGTGTAAGTGCCTGCCTGGCAAGCACGAGGTCGTGAGTTTGATAAAAAGCACTTTATAAATTTTGCAAATGTCCTTAGCTAGCAGACTACATACATTCAGTTGTCCTTTGTTTTAACCATATTCATACTAGGAGTTATATGCAGCCAATTTCTAGAAATGCTATCTGTCAAGAATACAGTCTTAAATTTCAAGCAGGCATTTCTCAAAGTAGGTGCTTTTAGATATTTTCAGCATGAAATGCAGAATGGAATATCCCTATTTGGCTCCAGAAGTATTAGGTGACTGAAACAATTTTACCTATTGATATTATTTTCTAATTTAATACTGTAAACCTATTTAGTATTGCATCTGAACGGTAATCATTTTCATGGAAGAAATACAAAAAGATTTTAACATTAGCACAGAGCAGGCATGTAACAAATGGGTGAGGGAAATGATGCCTGCAGTTTAGAGATCTGTGAACATCTGTGTAGTCCTCAGAGGCCGGACTTGTACTGCTCTGGGTGGACTTTTCCTGTCAGCTGTGATGTGGCTCTGAAGAGAAGCCAATGCCTAGGTGAACAGTTACTGCGAGGGGAGAGGAATGCTTCTTGCACTTTTGACTGCTTTCAGTCCTCAAATGAACCCTTTTTAAAACAGTTAAAATTTCATCTTTGTATCCTTTCATTACAGATAACCATTTGGGGATGGAACCTACCTTAGCAACTTAGTGAGGCAGCATGTCACCGCTGCTGAAAGACTGCAGCAGGTCAGGGAAGACCTGATTAAAGCAAACTGAACCTATCAAAGCCACTTACTCAGAAGAGAGATAGAGCTTGTTTGCTGACTGGTCATCCTTGCCACTAAAATTAAGGCTCATTGTATAAAAAGGTTTTGAGAAAATCAGAATGGGAACAAATAGCTGTTAAAAGCCTTTTTTAAATAGAATGGACAGTGTTGAATGTTTATGGGAACTAAGAACCACTGTACACCAAATAAACATTTACTTTTACATCATTGTGGTTATGGTGTCTTTGAGTTTTCTTGTAAGAAAAAGCACCACAAAACATGCAGTTTTATATAAATATATATGTGTTTTTTTCCCCTTGAGCCAGGGCTTTGCTGTGTAGGTTGGGCTGCCCTTGATCTTGCAGCGATCTTCCCGAGTCTCAGGTGCTGGTTGGTCTTACAGGTGTGCACCACCATGCCCGGCTATTTGCAGTTTTTAAAATAATGGTATGGCACCCTGTCTGAAACAATGTTATCCTGGTTTTAACGTGTGCTTTTGACAAAATTTTTGTGATTTTTAAAAATTTAATCTTAAAGCAGCATCTGTTTTTTGCAGTGCTCTTAGTATATTTCCAGGCTGTACATGTGTAACTTTTTTTAAAACACTGTTTAGAGGAGCAGGTCTCACTTTTTCCTATCAGAATCATCTGAATTACTTTTTGAGAGAGAACCAGGCTCCACCTGTGCTTTGCAGACTTGGAATCAACCAGAGCTGAACAAGCTTGCGTTTGTTCCTGTGCAGATGTTTGTGTTCTGATTTTGCCTCATCCAGGCCCTGCTTCTGTTCCTTCCCTGTGGTCTGTCTTACACATGCACTTCCTAATCTCCTGTTCAGAACCCTTGTAAACTACCTTCAGTGTATGGGATGAAGCCGAACTGATGTCCTAGCCTTGCCTTTCACGCTTAATTTTTGTTTTCTATTTATGTGACTTGGGTTGTTGCCAAAACCACAAGTTTTTTGTTTGGTTGGTTTTTTGTATTAGTTCCTCTCAACGTTTGTATTTACAGTAAGTAGCAGTAAGAAAACAGAGAAAAAGCTCAAACATGCTAAAAGAAATTTATTTCTTAATGAGTTCTTTTATACTGGCCTTGCTAAAAATATATTGAAAATAGATTTTAAGAAAAAAAATCTAGTTTTTTTTTAATAAGACTATAACATTTTTAGATGGGTCAAGTACAATATTTTTACTGAAGAGTTATTTCCCACTAAATCCAAGATTAGGTGTTATTAAATGCTATTGTCTCTGAAAATTTTTAAAACCTCAGGGAGAGGCTTAAATTCTAGTCAAGGATTCATTTAAATTCCTACTTTACAAAACTAGTAAAGTTGCAAAAGAACACAGTCCCAAGCAGTCATTGCAGTCCCAAGCACCTTATAGGACACCTCCGCCCTGCACCGAGTGAGCGCCCGCCGAACGGCCCGCAGAGGGTGCCGCCTTGCCACTCCTACAGCAGGTTAAGTGGCAGGTTAAGCATTGACATCATTCCAAGTCATTCTAAGCTGAATGAGAGTGCCATCCATTCTCCTTTTTGAGGAAAAAATAGATTGAATTTCTCTGCAGTGCTCTGAAAGGAAGAAATAAGGTCTTTTAAAATATCCACAGTAATTAGTGGTTTGGTGATTATTTCCCTGAATTTTTAAATTCCAACAAAGCATTACTTTGCAAAAGGTCCTTCAGCCCAAATTCACTGTCTCTGTTTTGATCTCTTTGTAACAGAACTCTCTGTTCATCCATTCTTTTAGCCTGAGACCTTAAAATAAGGCTAAAAAAGTCTTCATCTGGTACCGTCGGCCCCTTCGTGGCAGCAGGGGGAGGAGCACATCTTTGGTCATCTAATCTGGAACCCTGCAAATGTAAGAGAAAGATTAAAATACAAATACTTTAGGGAAGAAAATACAAAGCCAGATGTCTTTTTTTTTTTTTTTTTTTGTGGTACTGGGGATTGAATTCACAACTTTGTGCTTGCCAGGCAGGTACTTTTGCCACTGAGCTAAAATTCCGGACCTGAAGCTGTATGTCAGTTGTAACTAGAATGCATCTGTAACTGTTTCTGCCTCTTTCAGAAATTTAATCTTTATACCTGGAACCTAGTAGAATTTTTCCTTTAAAATGATGTATATAGAGGGACTGGGGATTTAGCTCAGTGGCATAAGCACCTGCCTGGCAAGGACAAGATCATGAGTTTGATTCCTAGTACCAAAAAAAAAAAAAAAAAAAAAAAAAAATCAATGTAATATCATGAGTTTAGTAAATATATTACATTATACTATTTTAATCATAATTGGTCACAAAAAACCTGGGGTCACCTGTGCCTCAGTAAATGACAGATCAAAAATTACAGGGGTCAGGGATATAGCTCAGTGGTACAGTGCCTGCCTGATACGTGCAAATGTAAGTACTGGGTTTGATTCCCAGCATCCACCATGTCCCCCAAAAAGACAATCTTGCCATAATAGGCATCAAAATGCAGTTTTCCCAATCTCTAGAAATAATAGTCTATACAAAATTTCTGAAGCACTATCTTTAGGCCACAGGGGACAGCAAACTATAACTACCTGATTTTGTTATTTTTTTTTGGCTTTCGCGTTTTTATCGGTACCGGGGATCGAACTCATGACTGCCTGCTTTCAAGGCAGGCGCTTATGCCGCTGAGCTAAACCCTCAACCCCCTTGTTTTTTTTTTTTAAATTGTCTGTGTAACAGTTTTGCTATGCAGTTCTGGCCTTGAACTCACTTTGCTCAAACTCATGGTGATCGTCCTGCCTCCGTTCTCCTGAGTACTGGGATTACAGGCATGCACTACCATGCCCAGGCTCAGTACCTGAAAGCTTGATTTAACACTGGCTGGCTGATTTCTTGCTACAGGTGTAGAGCTGAGCAACTGGAGAAACCAATGTCTATGAAGCCTAAAGTATTTTCTCTTTGCCCCTCTAACGGTCTGCCTGCTTTTGTCTCAGGTAATTAAATCTATTAAGGAAAATAGCACAGAATGAATTCTTTCAAGTTCTAATCTTATGATTCTCGTATCAGAAGTACATTAGAAAAGTTACTGCCCAAATAAAAAACCCAAGATTTAAAGTCTATAGTTCCTGGTATAGCTCCAGAATAAGGGTAGCAGTGTGACAGCTGATAACTGGGTCCCACGACACGGCTAGACACTGTGCTGAGCACTTACTTGCCTTGTGCCCTTCAACCCTGCAGCCTCTGAGGTACAGCTGTTTACGGGCCTCCTGGGCAGCGCTAGCTTCATGTGCCACTCACACACCTGGCTCACTCGTCAGCATTTCTCCTGTCAATGCCTGACTATTCCAGTGTCTCCAATTAGTCCAACAATCAAGCACTTCAGTTCCTAGCCTTCTTTGGACTCTGTTCTCATCTTTTATCTCTATTCTCCATTTGTTCTCATAGCCATGCTGGGCCCTCTTTGTCTTCTGGGGAGAAGTGTCTATTCAGATACTTTGCCCATTTTGAGTCAGGTAATTTTTGTTGTTTGGTCTTAGGAGTTCTCTATATATTCTAGATATTAATCCTTTGACAGATATGTGATCCAAGTAATTTTCTGCGGGTTGTCTTTTTCTCTCTTAATAATGTGTTCTGATGCAGAAGTTTTTTTATTTCTGTAATATGTGGCTGGAACCCTACCACTGAATTACATTCCCAGGTCTATTTTTTAAAATTTTAATTTTTTTTTTTTTTGAAACAAGGTCTCACTAAATTGTAGGCTGGCTTCAAACTTATGATCCTCCTGCATCAGCCTCCAAAGTACTGGGATTATAGATGTATGTCACTGCATAGCTGATAGAAGTTTTTGTCATTTTTCGAGGCAGTACTGGGGACTGAATCCAAGGCCTCTGCACTAAGCCACTTTTTATTTTGAGACATAATCTCAATAAATTGTTAAGTTGCCCAAGCTGGGCTCATCCTACAGCTTCAGCTTCTCAGAATGCTGGGACTACAGGCATTTTGTTTGTATCTTATGTACATTTGCAAGTAACTGTAGGCTGAGTTCCCAGAACTGAAACTGGTGACTCAAAAGGTGTATTTTTTCACAGGTAAACATTTCGTTCTATCAAATTCTCTCTTTAAAAAGTCTCTCCTGCTGTGAACTGACTCCCCTACCAACTAAAGCATTTCTACTGGTAAACATGCAGAACCATCACCTAAAGTTAGGAAAAGCCCATCTCTACCTGCATGCGCCCCAGGGATTGGTCCATTTCCTCACTGCTCTTTACTAGTAAAAGCTCTTATGAGTTCTCTCCTTTAACACTTCGTATTTTAAAGTACTTGTTGCCAAACCAAATAGTATCTTTTAAAATTACTAATAATCCCCACATTGTTAAATCTGGTAGTTCAGTTATTATGTTATTGGGCTTCTTACCCATAAAATCTTAAATACTTCCTTCACTTAGCTTCTGTCATTATGCCACGCTCTGGCTGGATTTTCTTCCAACTCTAGCTGTTGCTGCTTTGTTGGCTTAGTTTTCTCTCTTTGGCTGGTAGATTTTGCCGTTTTTTTTTTTTTTTTGTGTGTGTGTGTGTGTGTGATACTGGTGATCATACAGGACCTTGAGGAAATACTCTGTCACAAGCTACATCACTAGTCTTGACTAGTAGATTTGAAAATGCCTGGGGCCTCTTCCTGTTTCTTTATTCTTTGGTGTAATCTCTTCTCAGAGCTTTAATGCCAGCTATATGCTGATGCCTCATAAATTCTACCTTAAGCTCAGTGTCTTATAAGTTGTTCAAGGCCAGCCTGTACTACATAGTGAGACCCTGTCTCAAAAAAATAAGATAAAATAATAAAATAAAATAAATAGGAATTGAGCTTAGTGGTGTAGGCACCTAGCCGGCAAGCGCAAGATCATGAGTTCAACCCCTGGTACCAAAAAAACAAAAACAAAAAACCCCCAAAAAACCACATCTCAGAAATGTGTCTTACTGTGATAATTTTCCAAAAATTTAAACACAATATTTTTTGGTCCCACTATTTCTATGTATGCCTTTGTTTATCTATTTATAAAGATAGTGGGTATATATATTTACTTATTTACCCATTCCTTATCCCACTAAAATTTAAGATCCTTTAAAAAGCAAATACATATTTAGTATCTCAAATAGCACCTGAATCATAAGTGGTATTCAATGGTTTTCTGACTGATAGACAAATAAATAGTAACTTCCTAATACAAAATAAGCTCCTCCTGAATAGGTGGGTTTCTAACTTACATACAGAATGAAAAGAACATGCAGACATACTTGACACTTTACAAGGATGTCAAAGAAGTCCTCGTCAGGCTCTTTGCTGTCCTTTGTCATTAGGTGGTCAAGTACCGAGTGTTTGTTGTTTTTTGTCAAACGAAGCCCTGGCAAATGATTGAAGCTGGCCCTCTGGTCATCCAGACGGCGGCTCTGTGAGCTGGCAAGAAGGTCTAAGAACTCATCTGTGTTGGGGGACACCACAGAAACAGACGGTGCTAAAGACAGAAAAAAAATCCCAAATCTTACAAAACATTCAAATGTGTTTGTTATACACAGTTCTTGTCTGCCTTTCTAGCCCAAAGGCCTGCCCTTTCCTCCTGTGTTAGCACTGTGCCTGATGGAGCTCAGCTACACAGATGGCTGTGCCTTTTGCTGGCTGGCGGTGAAGACAGAAACCCAGAATACTTCAGAAGGTCCACGTGGAGATCACACAGATCTATCTCATGCTCTCCTGAAATGTTACTGTAAAGTACAGACCTAGACTACAAGGTGAGTAAGCTTTTTAAACAAAATTCAGACAAAAGGATGAGTGGGATAGTGTTTTACTTCTATTTCTTGGATGGAATTATTTAATGAACTAAACTGAGGGTCCAGTGTGGCTGGCCAGTCTGATCTATGGTTAGGAGGGTCTTTTAGTAGCACAAACAGAAACATTTAAAGAACTTATTTTATACCTTTCTGAAGATTTAGGCCTTAGCATCAGTGTTAGTCTTAGCTATATGCCTCTTCAGTCTGCCAAGGCTTCTCTCTTTTACTTCGGGTATGAAATAGTTAAATATTATCCAGAAGCATGAGAAAGGTATAAAAATACAACTATCATTTTATTCTCATTTTTATTTATTTAATTTTATTTTTTGGTACCGGAGATTAAACTCATAACCTCATGCTTGCCAGGCAGGAGCTTATGCCACTGGGCTAAATTCCGGGCTTTATTTTTATTTTTTAATACTGGGGATCGAACCTAGGGCCTCACATTTTGTAGGCAAGAGCTCTTACCACTGAGCTGCACCCTTACGCCATCATTTTTTAAGTCAGATTTCCCCCAGACCCACAGAGAACAGAGAGGCAATATTGACACAATTAGAACAAAGCACACTGGATTAAACACAGACTTAAAGGAACTCAAAAACCTTGTCCCCCTCCCATTTTAAGTCTACTTGGAGTCAGGCTCATTATTATGTCTCCCATGACATAACTAAAGTCCCAGATATAAAATCAAGGACAACTACACAAAACAGCAGCAGTATAGACGACTCACCTTTCAGCCTGGTTTTGGGGGGAGTGGAGGGAGCTGCCGTGGCAGCTGTGCGGCGCTGCTTCTCTTGTAAGCAGCACCTCTGGTCATCCATCCTGCTGCTTTGGAATCGGCTCAATAGGTCAAAGAACCCTTCATCTCCAATGGTGTCTGCACTGATTTTCTAAACGTTGACAGAACATTGAGTACACTTAAATATGCTATCATCACCCTTAGATCACTGATGAACAAGATGCACCCACATGCAGAAGGTAAAGGATGACCGTTAGAATTAAGGGTTGATACTTAATTTTAATTTTCTAAGAATGTAAGTGGTATATTGGTAGTAAATTCAAATAAAAAAGGGAATTTCCAGTTAGTTAAACTTTTAATTCCTATATTTCTAAGTCTTAATTCTCAATCTGGAAGGAACTAGTATACTACTGAATAATTTTTGCAAATATGCCAAGTATTACTTAAAATGGTGACCCCTTGAGAAACACATCATGTGTTACACAAGCCAGACGGTACACATAGCCTACTACACACCTAAGCTACACGTGATGTACTATTATATACGCAGTCTGTCACAGAGGGAAATGTTACTACAGCTGTATTACCAACACAGACATAAAAGTACAGTTTTAAGATCCTACAAAAGAATTTAAATTAATCTTTTTAAGAAATGTTAAAACAGGAAAGAAGGCAAGTATATTTTTCTAAGCAGAAAGCTTTCCAACAATTTTGTTGTTGTTTTTATTTTTCTCCAGTGCTGAGGATTAATGCTGGGAAGAGCTCACCATTGAGTCTAGCTCTTTTCAAATTTTATTTTGAGACAGAGCCTTGCTAAATTTCTCAGGCTGACTTGGAACTTTGATCCTGCTGCCTCAACCTCCTACTTGGCTGTGATTAAAGGCACATATTACCATTCCTGGCTCAATGGTATTAAAGATTTGAAGAGCCTCAAAATTTTAAACTTTAAATAAACGGATATTTTTTGGAGGAGTAAAGGCTATCAATATTTTTATTTGGAAGGTTTTAAAACTGAAATGATAAATGCAATGTTTAATACAAGCAATTTTTAAAAAATCCTTTTCATAATTTCAGTATTAGAGGAACAGACAGACAAAATGAATGGGTTTACAGAGGGGCCATTAAATAATTTTAGGGAAAAGTTCATAGTATGTATTTGTGGCGGCTCCTTAAGAATGAATGGGCATTGTAGGTTAAAGATGTTTTATGCTCATTAATGTATATCAATATGATTCACTTTTGCTCTGAATCTACAAAATATTCTTGAACCATTTCTATACACCCTAATTTTTCTATTGTCCATAAGAAACCAGAGACAGAAACCAAGGAGAATATTACCAGGGTGTGTAGCTATAAATGGAATTCTAACAAAAGAACCAACAGAAATCTCTAGTTTAAAATAAATAAGTAAAAATTTCAAAGGCTCTCATTGCTTGAAAAAGGGACTTGATAATATGAAGTACCTTCTTTGTAAATTATTTTGATCTTTTTTGAGAATATAGGATATTTCTTTGATATTTATCCATAAATCCTTGCTATTTTTATTTCCAACATTAACCTTAATAAACTGCTGTTTTTCTTAATCGAAAGTTTTAAAATCTAGAGCCAGGGATTTAGCTCAGGGACATAAGCTCTTGCCTGGCACGCATGCGGTAATAAATTCAATCTCTAGTACCAAAAAAAACCTTCCAGTTTTAAAATCTATTACTGTAGCTTCAGTAATATGGCTAATAGAAGTTGATGCCAGCAGATGCTTTTCATTCTAAGAGTGTTTAATATCCTTGAACAGAATTGGGTATGGGGGTGTACACCTATAATTACAGCACTTTTGGAGGCTAAGGCCAGGTAGATTGCAAAGTCAAAGCCAGTCTAAGGAATTTAGTGATTTGGAGAGACTATGGCTCAAAATAAAAAGAGTCAGGGTGCAGTTCAGTGCCAAGGCCATGGTATAAACCCCAGTACTGCAAAAAAAAAAAAAAAGAGAGTGAGATCCTGATTCTTAGATTAAACCCAGAGTCTTTGTACTGAGCTGTATTTCCAGCCCTTTTTTAAATTTTTTGACAGGGTCTTGCTAAGTTGCGCAGGCTGGGCTCAAACCTGGGGCTTTTCCTGCCTCGGCCTCTGAGAGAGCTAGGATTACAGGCATGCACCACTACATCCAGCTAAACCTGAATTTAATTTGTTCTGGATGAGTGGAGGGTAGTTTTACTGGGAGATACTGCAGTGAAATAAATGGTAGTATTTTTGCAAAATACACAATGATAGTAAGTGTTCAAAACAATAGAGCAACTTATCTATGAATATAGTAATCTTTGTTTTTAGCTGTAAGACTAGAAAATAGAAATACAGATAAATTCTTTGAGTAACAAAGATATCTTAAATACCTAATTTAAATGATCAAAATTTAGAATGAAAAGAAGAAAACTAAAATATGTAGGTATTCCAAATACAATACTAAAATACATACCCTCTGAGAATTCGGAATTCTATGGTCAATGGAATTACTGGCGTCCTGGAGAACTTTAGTGAAGGAATTGGTTTTGTATTTTTTCCCCTTTAGTCTGTTGACGAAGAGTAGCTTTGCGGAAGGCTTGGCAATGACAGGCTTTTGTTTAGCAAGAATTTCACTGTTCCAGTTTTGTACCTACAGAATTATAAATGAAAACCAAGCCATGAACAAACTCAACTCTCTCTGGTTTCCTATAATACTGACCTGACATCTTTAATCACTGTCTAATAGGGTAGGGGGTAAATTTTAGATCTCTTAATAAAACCCCTTTTCAATATATTATACTATTTTCAAAAGCTTATAGCAAATGCATTCTCTGGACTTCTCATTTTCATAACATAAAAATGGTTAATTTCAAGAGTCTAAGAATAAGAAAAGTTTGCCAAAACTCCTTTAAAAGTAAAATTTGCATAGTTAGAGAAGGAGCCAAAGTATTCTGGATGTGAGTTAAATAAAAATCTGTTATAACTAGAAATCTAGGGTATATGCAGGGTTTTTAACCATAAAAATTAACATCTAAAACCTAATATAGCACTAGCAATTTTTCTGTTGATACAGCTATACTGTTTTCATCAGCACAGATAATACTAAATTTGCACTAGGCCAAACCAACCGATACTGATCTCATTCTGATTTAAGTACACATGACAATCTCCACTAGACTCCAATTAACAAATACTGAGTACTAGACAAAGGGAAAATACACAGTACAAAGTTCAGTGATGTTAGCAGCTATAATAGTGAGTTTTAAGCATTTGCAAATAACTGTAAAGTTCCATGGTATATAATAATGTATAGTTTTGGTAAGGTACATTTTTTCTTAAGTAAAATTTATGGACATTCAAATGCAAATTTAAGTTGGAAACCATATAAGCCTGACCCTAAATCAAGATATTAAACATTTCTATTGACTCAGAAAACTCCCCAATTATGAGGAACAAATTGGAATAATCCCTGTTCTGAAGCTCATGTACAGGACTGGGATATAGAGCTAATCAGTGAACTAAGTCTTTTGTTCCTTTTCATATGTAAGTTATACAGGGAAATTATTTGCTAGAGTAATTTCATTTTCTATTGATTGGAGAAAAAAAATGACGTTTATGTATATATGTGGTACCAGGAATTGTACCTAGGGCTTTTGCCCCAAGCTACACCCCTAGCTTTTTCTCATTTTGAAACAAGGTTTTGCTAAGTTGCCAAACTGCCTAGATTAGATTTGAACTTTTGATCCTCCATCCTCAATCTCCCAGAGTGCTAGAATTACAGGTGTGCACCATCATGCCTGGCTAAGAAAATGCTCTTGCTGTAAGAACACAGAATTCTACCTGACACTCAAATAGAAATCTGCAAAAATAAAATTACATGACATCTCATAACATTAAGAACGAATACAGGTATGGAACAATATCTTTAACATTATGAAGGAAAGTTATTTTTTTCCAACCAAGAAGTCAAGCTTTTTTTTTTCTTTTTGGTGCTGAGGACAGAACCACGGCCTTGTGCATACTAAACACTAGTTCTACCATTGAGCCACGTACCCAGTTCTCCACCAATTCTATTGTCAGCAAAATTACCAAACATGAGACTTTCACTCAGCCAAGTCTCAAAAGTTCCTTTTCACTCCCTCCTTACTAAGAAGCATCATACTTCAGGCTCCCTTGCTCCTTTGGTGTAAGTCATTGAAACATTGAAAATAAGAAAATATAAAAACTATAACAATTTTATTATAAGCAAAAGAAACCAAAACAATAACTACAACATTTTAAAATAAAGATAAAACTTGGCTCTTCGAGAACTACAGGGCTGAATCTTATCAACTCCTTATAAATTTCCTGTTAGTACCATTATAGATGGCGGCAGTAGATAATAAATTAACTTTTTTGCTTATTAGTAGGTAATAGGTTTCTTCTAAAAGAAGAAGAAAAGCTAATATTGCTCTTAAATTTAAAAAAAATAATTTGTGGATTCAATAGGCATGTATTTGAAAACTACTTAGAAGATGAGAGCTATATATTTTGGGGAGTCACAAAGTCCTCCAGAAGTTACCAGTTTTTATACAATTGTGGAATTGCTAAAATACTGGATACGAATCTAAGACCATTAGATGCCAAACTTTTTGAAGGCTATCCATATAAGAAACATTAGTATTACAAAATGATATGCTAGTTATTATGATAGCACAGAAGACTAATGACATGTAACAATGTTCTTGATACACAACTACTTATAGCAAAACAGTACCTATAACATAACACTAAATTAAAATGCCAGAAGGATACCAAAATAATTAACTGTAGTTCCTACTGGGAAGTGAAATTAATGATGTCTTAATTTCCTTGCTGGATTTTCCAAAGTTGCTGTAATAAACCTATTTTATAAAAATCATGTTTTAAAAAGTATCACAAGGGAAGCCAGGTGTGGTGGCTGTCTGTAATCGCAGCACTTGACAGGCTGATGCAGGATTGTTGCAAAGTCGAGGCCAGCCTGTGCTTTATAGTGAGTGTGAGGTCAGTCTGAACTACATAGTGACATCCTGTCTCAAAAACCAAACCAAACCAAACCAAACCAAACCAAACATCACAAGGGAATGAGTCTCTTTTAACAATTAAAATTCAATTAAGTGGAAGTAGAAGAAAGAGTTCTCCAAAAACTGTTTTCCAACTATGAAGTCACTTCTGTTAGCCTCCCCACAACCCAAAGGCCAGGGAGGATGCATGTTTAGTACAACATACTTTCCTCATCAGTTAAAAAATGCTTCTCAAAAAACATAGCCAGAAAGACTATTCTCCTCTGGATTACAAATTTCATTAATCTTGGCAGTGTTACTATGTCATATCCTTTGTGAGTGTGTGTTTTGTCTTTTTGAGACGGGGTCTCACTGTGCAGTTAAGGGTGGCCTTGAGCTCACTGTGTAGCTCAGGCCAGTGTCGAACTCCCAACAATCCTCCTGTCTCAGCCTCCTAAGAGCTGGGATTACAGGTGTGTGCCACTATACCCAGCTCTATGTTACAGACTTTTAAAAAAAGTTTCCTGACCCATTTTTAATCGTCTTGGTATTCTTTTAATTAAAAACAAATAATACATTTACATAGTAAAACATTTAAAACTTATTCAAGTAGTTCATACAAAATACTTCTAACCTACTTCAAACACCCAATTCTCTTCCAGAAGCAATAATTATTAGTAAGTTTCTTATATAATTTCCCACGTGTTTTATAAATCTACAAAGGACATATACACATATATCCTTTTCTCAATCACACAGCAGGATGATATCTTCTTTTTGTCCTTATTTCATCTGATTCTTTTTATAGGCAAATTTTAACTGATAAAGGGTAAGGCTTATTTAAGCCATTTTATTTAAAAGTTACTAAAAGTTTTAACAGTTTATAAAATTTAAAATATAAAATCGTCCAACCTTTTCTGGTGTTAACTTCATGAGTTCCATATTTTCCATACTGTGTCTGCGTCCCAATTTGGGGCGTGTACCTTTGTAAAACAAAAATTAATTCAAATAAACAAGGCGGTCCTTAAGAGTACACATTTAGCATCTCTATATAATTCTTTTCTTCTTTTTTGAGGCAGGGTCTCGCTGTGTAGTTCGGACTGGCCTTGAACTCACTATGTAGTCCAGGCTGGCCTCGAACTCACAGCCTCCTGAGTGCTAGAATTACAGGTATGTGCCACAACATCTGGTATACATAATTCATTTCTAAAGTCTGATGATCATTATGTGTATCTAAAATGTACCAATAAAATCTGATTGGAAGAAAAAATCTGATGCACAAATTCTTATGAAAGGAACAAACATGTTTTTAGAGAATATTTACAGACTAGCTACATAAAAATACACACTCCCTCTACAATGCTTTGATGTAAAGAAGTTACAGTTTAGTTGGGAACTCATTATTGGTTACTAGTGTTACTCTTTAATTTAGGAAAAGCAGCCAGTTTAATACTATCCACAGTCTCAAGAAAACCAAACAAACCACAGAGTGGTTTCAATAAGTAAAAACATAAGGAAAATGCTTTGGACCTTCAATTTTGAGAAAATAAAAATAACATGCCAAGTACTATACTGTTACTCCTTTCTAAGTGACCCTTTCTTAAAGATCTTCTTAGATGATGCATTCATGGCCAGTCAGGAAACAAGTGAAATAAAAAGCAACAGCTCTTAACATTTTTTCAATAAAGTTATAAAATATTTAATGCAGTACAAAGAATTTCCATAACTGTCTAATCATTTAAAATTTTAAGAAGTATTTTAAAAGATATAAGGAATATGTGATACCTAATTCCAACCTTGCTTACAAAAGAAAAACACTACCAACACATTGATTCTCCCCTTTGTATAATTGTGACTTCCTCCCAGCACTCTACCACTAAGCTACAGTCTCTGCCTCCTGCATTTTTACATATTTTCATTACATATGTATGCATTTCTAAGCAAAACAGCATTATTTGCACTGTTTTGAAATGATGACAAAAGACATTATACCATTGGTATTCTTCAACTTGCTTTCTTTGCGCAACTTAGTTTGTGAGATTCATCTAAGCTAGTAAGTGTAGTTTAGTTTAAGTCATGTTCACCATTTTTGTTCTTTTTTTGTTTTTTGAGACAGGGTCTTGCTATGTAGTTCAGGCTAGCCTTGAGCTTAGTATGTAGCCCAGGCTGGCTCTGAACTCAGAGCAATCCTTCTGCCCCAGACTCCCGAGTGCTATGATTACAGGCATTTTCAACATTTTAAGAATTGAAGTTATCTGTTTTACTAGTGACAGGCATTTAGGTTGCTTCCAGTATTTTTTTTTATAAGCAGTACTACAGAAATTCCTGGTGATTTTTCTTGGCGTACAGGAGCAATCCAGTTTAGATCATGGGTACACAACAGTAGCAGGACATGTGCTGGGTCACAGAGATGGTACATCTTTAACTTCACCAGAGTGCCGCCAGTTCTTCAGTCAACCAGTTTCTGTCCCCTCACCTCTGTATTAGGCTTTCCACTGCTCAACATCATATTAACACTAGTATCGGACTTCTAATTTTTGTCCAAATCATGGACTTTCAATAATACTCCACTATGGTTTTTTCTTTAAGTTTATTGTTACACTTCAGGTATATATAATGATCACATTCACCATAGGGAATTTGTAATTGTACATGATACAACTGATTCTTTTTATTTCCCTCTTTCCCTAACCTCCCTTTGACCCTTTTTCTCTCCTTATTTATAAAAGCTTTATTTCCATTTCTTTCCTTTTGTCCCTTCCCCTCTTTTCTTCCTCCCTGCCTGCTCCCTAGTCCCCCTTCCAATCTGAGAATTTTCTACTTATTTCACAATATTTATTACACATTTTGGTTCTTAGTTACACTTTTGACTTCTCACACCAGAGAAACAATGCAGTATTTATAAATATCTTCACTGTGATTTAATGAAGTTAAATTTATTTTTGCACATTTATGGGTCATTTGTGTTTCTTCTGGTCATCATTTTGCTCCCTTTAGGTAAAAAGGTAAAAAGTCTAGGTAAAGACTATTCATCCTTTTAATTTCAAGTACTTACACACTTTGGATACAAATTCCTTTTACATCATTTATATGACAGATATTTCCAGTTTTTTTTCTGAAAATGAAATGAAGCGTTTTATTTCAAAGTAAATCCTTTTAAAATGATTTTCATTTCTGTGTCCTGAGAGCCCTCCTCCTCTGATACCAGCAAGATATTCTCCCGTGTTCTCTGTGATAGAGGCATGAACTGAGCTGAGTGTGGACTGTAAGGCCAGCTCTCATCTGTGAAGTGACTTCGGTAGTTACGGCACCGTGACTCAGTTTCCTTGCATGTAAAGAACAGTCATACTGCAGGGTGGTGATACCTGCACTGTTGTCAGAGGGTCAGCACGATGCCAGGAAGCTCACTGAGTGCTGGCCAGTGTCGTCCTTGTTATTGTTTTAGATCATTCCTATTTAAATGCCTAATCCATTGAGAATTGATTTTTGTGTGGGATTTTAGTTTCTCTACATGCAAGGGATATAGGTTCTATACAGGACATTGTTCAACTGGTTGATGTGTATGTCTCTGTGCTGGTGGCTAGCACAAAGTAAAGCACTTCTCTATCTTTCTTGAACTAGGGTGCTTGGATTGAGCTATATCCCTAGCCCTTGTTTCATTTTTTGAGATAAGGTCTCACTAAATTGCTAAGTTGCAGGGGCTGGGGGTTTAGCTCAGCGGCATAAGCACCTGCCTTGAAAGCAGGCAATTGTGAGTTCGATCCCAGGTACTGATAAAAAGGAAAAAGACAAAAAAAAAAAAAAAAAAAAGCTAAGTTGCCCAAGATGGGCTCTAATTTACCACTCTCCTGTCTCAGCCTCCTACAGTGCGGAGATTACAGGCATGCACCACCATGGGTGGCTCATTCTTGTTCTTCATGAAGCATGTTTTAGCTTTTTTCAAATCTTTTTTTCTTTCATTTAAATTTGTAAAAGAACTCATCAAAGTTTACAAAGGAACTGAGATTTGTTTGGCAGTGCATGAAATTTGTGTCAACTTGGGGGCATAGACTCCTTTTTTGGTTGTTGTTGTTTTTGAAACAGGATCTCACTATAGCCCAGGCTGGCCTCAAACTCATGGTAATCTCCCTGCCTCAGCCTCCCAAGTACTTGGATTACAGCCATGCACCACCCTGCCTAGCTTTATGGACATCTTTTATAGTAGTTTGTCTTCTAATCTGAGTGAGGTTTATCTTCTATCAGTTACTGAGATGTGTTAAAATTTCCCATTATAATTTCAGATTTTATTATTTCTTTGGTTAGTTTTGCTTTTATATACATTTGACACTTTGTTATTAGGCCCACTCAGCATAGACAACATTAATCCTTTTATCTTCTTGATGAATTAAACTCCTTAATCATTGTGAATCACTACTATGAAGTAACTTTTTTTTAATAAGACTTTTTAGGCACGGGGTAATGGGGATTAAACCTAGCACCTTGTGTGCATGAGGCAAGAACTCTACCATTGAGCTATATCCCCAGCCCATGGGCCTTCTGTTTTACAGCTATACCAGCTTTTTGTTTAGTTTTTGCATGCTGTATTTTTTTCCTATATTTTTATTTTCAGGCTAAGTATATCCTTATGTTTCTCTTACAAGTAATTGTGTAGCTGGATTTTACTTCTTTTCTACTTTGATACTTTTATTTTTAGGCAGTATCTCAATAAGTTGTCCAGGCTGGCCTCAAACTTTCAGTCCTCCTGCTTCAGCCTCCTCTGTAGCTGGGCTTACAGGTGTGTACCACCATGCCCAGCCAATCAAATACTCTTAAATGGAACATTTTCATTTACTAGAATTACTAATTTATTTAGGCTTCTTTGCTATGTTAACTAGTGAATTACATTCATTGGTTTTGGATACTGAAACCACTTGAATTCCTATTTGTTTTAAAACCTACTGGTAGACTTAATTAGCTACTTTTCCTAGGGTCTTCAGGTTTATGTTCATTAGTAAAGCTGATCTATAATTTATCTTTTTTGTCTTAGTCTTGTCTAGTTTGAATTCCAAGGTTATATGTTTCTCAGGAAGACTGAGATGTTTCTCAGGAAACATTGTTTAAGGTTGTACAGATGGTCCCTGACTTAAAATAGTTTGACTTAGGATTTGCTGACTTAATAATGATGTAAAAACAATACACCTACATAGAAACTATTTTGAATTTTGCTCTCTTCCCCGTAGTGATATGCAGGACACACTCTTGGATGCTGGACAGTGGCAGTGAGAAGCAGTTCCCAGTTGACCCTGCAACCACTAAAGTAAGCAACCACAATTCGCTCCTCCCATGAGCCAGAAGGAAACCATGAGGAGCCTAGGAGGAGAAACAAGAAGTCAACTTGCCTTCCTGTGTGCTGCCATAAGCCATAGGGGACCTGGGAGGAGAAGCAGGAAGCCAATTTGCCCTTCTCATGAGCTGGTGGAAGCCATGCAAGACCCAGGAGAAGAAACAAGAAGCCAATTCAGGAGGTCCTTCCTGTGAGCCAACAGGTGTGCGGGCTTTGAGGGAACAACCCCTCCCCCCCATTCTTTAAGCAACCAGATGATTTGGAGGATCGCTGGTTGAGTTGACAGCAACTGAAGTACAAAAAAAACTTAATGCTTGCATTGTCTGACAGACTTTGAAGGCCTACGGCTGGTAGTCTGGGCATCTATTAAGAGGATAATAGTATGTAATATAGCAAATATCGGGGATTTCCTTCTGGCTTGATTGTGAAATCCAATATTGTTCTGTTTTGTTCCGTTTTACTGGTTTGATTGCTTTTATTCTGCTCTGTTTTATTTGATTTTATTATGTCTGATGGTGTGGGCAGCAATTCTGAAGATAATGAGGCATTATGGTAGCTGTTGATTTCCTATTACCCTGTTTTGAGGTCCTGTATCACTTTCACTGGTTTTGATTGGCTTTATTCTGTTTTGTGTTTGATTTTATTCTCTTTAAAATAAAATTCAAAAAAAGTAAACAACCACTATTTTACAATGTGCTGTGTTGCTAGACTGTGATACCCTGGTAAGTTAGGTACAGTAAATGCATTTCTGACTTAGAGCTTTTTCAACTTATAAAAGTTGAAACTCCACAGAATAACCCCATGGTAAAACAGGGAGCACTAACCGGGCACGTTGGCAGGGAAAGGGGAGAGGAAGGAAAAAGACATCGAAGAACTGAACCCTGAGCATCACAAATTCAGAGGAAGGAAAGATGAAAAAGAGAAAAAGAGAGAGACTAAAGACGGCCAGTAGCAAACTAGAAAAGTAGTGTAGTCCTGGAAGGTTGCTAAGGCAGGAGCTATCAGCTATCGGAAATACTGCTGAGAACTCAAATATGCTGCCATCTAAACACTGACAATGTATCTAGTAAAATGGAGAGCTCTGGAAGTCACTTCAGTGCCAGGATGGGGGGAAAGCTTGGTACAGTGTGCTGAGGAGAGAAGGGGAAGTGAGAAAGTACATAATACTGGTATCTCTTTCAAATTTTGTTATGAAAGAAAACAAAGGAATGAGTCCATAGCTAGAAGAATCTATGAGGACTGGTGACAGTTTTATAGATGACAGTGCCTACAAAAATAATCTACTTAATATCAAACACAAGAAGACACAATTTAGCCCATTGTCCAATTACAAAGCACAGTCTAATTTATTATATAGCTCATACTTTGGAATTTTTAACCAACAATTCTTTGAAAGTCTTAGATGACTAGCTAATAATTTCTTTTTCTTCTTTGAAACTCTTAATCAAATGACTAGTTAATAATTTTGTTATCTTCTTTTTCTCCATATGAGTTTAGAGAAGGAATTTAGAAAAATAAAAGCTAGACTTTTCACTGACTTTTAAGTTCAAAATATTTGTATCAGTAATTTTTTCAGATTGAGCATTTTTCAAGCTTAGGAATCAGATTTTTAAGATGTATGATGTCACAGCTATAAAAAAGAATGATCTTGAGGCTTTTATAGGTAAATGGAGACATGAGACCATCCTCATAAGTGAAATAAATCAGACTCATACTTGTAAATACCACATTGTCTAATGTAAAAAACAGTAAAAACTGAAGGAGTAATAAGATCCAAAATGTATAATATATATCATAATAATGAAAGGGAAGGAAAGTGCTCTAAAGGATATAATTGTATGTACCGTTCAACTGTGTAAGATAGATAACCATACTACTAAGTTTTTGTTGGTTTATTGAACAGAATGGTTTGTACTTTGTCCACTTTTTATGCTTTGATTTTGTAACCTGAACAACTATTTCTAAGATGACAATATGTAATTTATCAACTAGTGATTTCTTAGTGTTTTTTAAAAATTCTGTAATATTTCTACTCTTTTTTCTGTTTTGCTTTTTTCTTTAAAAAAAAAAAGAGATGTATTTCAGAGGGGCTCAGGATATAGCTCAATGGCTTAAGCAGGTGTGTGGCAAAAGCAAGGTTGTGAGTTTGGTCCCTGGTACAAACAAAAATATATTTCAGAGTTACAGACAGATATAAATGGTACCCTAATTTTGCCCCTTTTTATTTCTTTAAAAAGTAGCTTCTGTTCCCCACTTAGAAACAGATACATTAGGGCATATTTCTCCCCATGGCAATGTTAAACCTAATCAGTATTTAAAGGTTTCCTAAAAATTGATTTTGCCACTAAAGAAATTGAAAACAATAAAGAAGAATGTTTCTTAGGCTTTCTGAATGAAAAAAAGAGAAAATAATTCCAAGTAAAATGTAAATGTAAAATGTAAACTATGAATGTTTCTTAGGCTTTCTGAATTAAAAAAAGAGAAAACAATTTCAAGAGATTTCATCTTGGCAGAAAAGCTAAACAAAACTTAGATATATAAAACTACGTGAAATAAAAAGGATAAAACAAAAGAACATTTTAATTTGGGTTATCTTCATATTAAAATGAGCTTAGTACAATATTTAAATTTATTTTTTACAAAACCAAGTACATTCACCATTCCTAAATTCATGATAAAAACTATACTGTATTTATCAATAACTTAATGGACCTATGTAAAACAAGAAAGTGAATTTATGTCATGTATTCTCTCTGGATATGGTAACATGGTAAGTAATTTAAATGTAAATTGTTAGGGCAGACAAATTAGGTTTTAGAAGATCTGTTACTTACCATGTAAACTGTTATCAATTTCAATATTTTCAGACATTATAGAATTATTTGTGCTGTAGCTCAAACCAAGAACCATTTGAAGATCTGAGAGATTCAATCGTGCTGTTAGTTCACCACTTTTATCCCCAACCTACAATCACAAGTATTTATATTTTAGAGTAGTATTTAAAGATACAGAATGATGAAGATTAGCTGAAAAATGCTGTAACTCTAAAACTGGAAGACAATACAAGAAAATGAAAACAGTTTCATTAGAATTAAGAGACAATAAATGAATAAAATGGGTTATTCTCATTAATGATTTTTTTAAGAACATAGAAAAAAGGTCAACTCTAAAATATCACAAAAGAACAGCTAATTATATTCTTTTAATTCTTCAGTTCTCTAAATATTAGAATGTTCTTAATCTCTGTGCTTCTATTAAAAAATGCAGGTTATCCTGTGACATATTAACTATCAAATGTGGCATCACATGAACAAATTTTCCTTAAAAATATTTTATTTTTATACTGTAACAATAGTGATATTTATTAAGCCAGCACTAGATATTATAGCAGGCACTTCTATATATATTATCTCTAATCAGAACAACTTGCAAGGTGGATATTATTATTCTCATCTTCCAGACAGGAAAAATGAAGCTCAGAAAAGGCTTCCAAGCTCAAATAGCCAGCAAGTGGCAGAAGTGTAACAGGAACCAGTCCTTGATTCTAGAAATTGTTATTCCTTTAGTGCCAGTGATGGAGGTAGAGAGGGGGCATATTTTAGTAATGTCCTCCTACTCCCTCATACGTGGCCTTAACTTCCTGTTTTCTTATATCAAGGCCAACATAAGTATATTTCTAATCTGCATCTCAAAATAGTTTATTGATGCCAAAAAAATATAAAATTAAACACTGTTTAGCCATATAGAGTAATCAAGAAATAACAGGGTTTCTTCCCCTTGCCAGTGATAAATTACAATAGCACATATAGCATTTTTTCCATTGCATACCTCTCTTGAAATTTCCAAGTGTTTTTCAGCAAAATGCATTGCTTGATCATGATTTCCTAGAGCTGTGTATGCATTTCCTAAGCTCCAACATGCTCTTCCTTCACCAATTCTAAAACATAATTCAAAACTAACATGTGGTTATCTGCAAAGAGATGTTTAGCAAATAAAAATGATCTAACAATTATTAAATATATAAGAAGTGGTGGCGAGCCTGTGACACTTGTGCTGCAGCAGGCTGTTTATTATCACTGAAAGTTCTAAAGGGTTCACCATCACTGATATAAACAATGCTCTGGATTTATTTGGTCTTTAACTTTAAAAACTTACCACAGAGACCTATGAGAATATTCAGATAATCCTAAATTCAAGAGTCAAATATTAAAACATGAAAAAACATTTGATTAAAATAGGCAATGCCCTATAAAATAATAAAAACTTGGAGACAGGTATTCTAATCTAGTTATCCTATTATCTTCCTACAACAACTATACCTAGTAATCATTCGGTGTGTATCTGAATACTAGGAAGAGAAACCTCTTGAGGTAGTGTACTTCATCCTGAATAAGTATATCAGAAAGTTTTCTCATACTGATGTAAAACTTGATCTAAAGTAAAATAACAGACTGGCCAGCACAGATGTGGTTTTTTTTTTTTTTTTTTCATATAAGCAAGATAAAACCTAACCAAATGAAGTAGTTACCACACTTAGAGAGATTTCATATATAGCACAGGACTTGTGCTTCTTGAAAAAACAGGAAGATTCGTTTGTAACAAACCTTGTTCCTGCCTGGCAATAATCAGCTAGAGCTGAATAGCAGCTGCTTCTTGACAATGAAGAGTTCCAGGTTAGCCACAATTCCCACACTGACCGAGGCAGGAGCCTTGAGACAGCTGAGTTTGTGACCCAGTCACTGATCCTGCTCACGGGCATTTGGAAGCAAAATGACCCTCTACCACAGGCCTTCCCTTCAAACAGTAACATACAGGGACAGTCATGAAAAGGAAAATTGCTTAAAAATGAAACAAACGGAAGAGTCAATGGAAAAGCTACTGGGATTTAATAATGTATCTATATTTTACCTCACCTAGAGTTAAAGGATGTATAACTCACCTATCTTTTAATTCTTGAGCAATTGCTAAGTGCTTCAGGTGATAATCAATGGCCTTCTCATAGTCTTGAAGTAAAGTGTATGTGTTTCCAAGACTGTAACAAGACTGAGCTTCAACAGCTCTGTCTTTAAGCTGTCGAGCCAACAGAAGTGTCTTCCTAAAACAAGAAATTTTCACATGATCATTTTTAATTTGGGCTACAATAATACTAAAATAAACCATCATTTCTCTGTCTGCTGCCTTTCAAGTAAGTCTGTTTTACAGTAGAGAATCTTTTTCTTTTATTTTTAAACTGAAAAGTTGCTTTTGAAAATACAAAAACCAAATCTAGACTTTCAAGAATAAATTTGATTCTAACAATTCACCACAGTAGTGAAGTACTAGAATAGGACATCAAGGGCTTTGAAAGAATAACAGGATTTACAATATTTAAAAACATCTTTCTCTTTTATATAGATACTAACTTAAAGAAACTTCTGTTATCATGTTTGTTTTCAATCATGTTACCTTTCATCTTGTTAAAATTTAAAATATGTATGCTTCTACGTGTAGAATATTAAGTCACTGATCCTTTTTTTTAAAGTCACTGATTCTTAAAATATTGAATATTTCATATAAAATGACGAGCTCTCTTCGGCAGCACATGTACTAAATATTGATGAAATTCTACCTAACACATATGATATTGTCAATGAAAAGTCAGTGTGATTGGTAAGAGTGTGGATCCTGGAGCTACACTGTCTGGGTTCAGATCCCACCTTTGCTAGCTGTGTGACTTAGAGCAAATCACTCAACCTATCTGTGTACTAGTTTCCTCATGTATTCAATATGGAAATACCTCACTAGATTTCTGTAAAGATGAAATGAATTCATACATATTTGAATATGTCTATTTATAGGTAGCTAAAGCACTTAGAATATCATCTTGAGCAGAGCAGATGCTATATAACATTCATGCTATTTTATTACTGCTTAAACCTACGCATGCTTTTGGATCCAGTAAGTTTTTCTAAAATCTCTGTCAAGTTACATAATTACTTCATATCATTTATAGCTATATGAAAACTTATATGGTAATGTGATAAATCTTTTTAAGAAAATGAATCTAAAACTATGTATTTAATGATGATACCTTCAAAACTGTCACCTGAGAGCCTACGTACTTATTCTAATGTTGCCTGTCCTCACAAACAATTTTTGAGGCTTTTGGAATTCCCTTCAGATTCAGTGCACAATCCTTTCTGGCATACTGTTACACTGTGACTGTACAGTTGATTTATAAATTGTCAGAAATCTTTCTGTCAACAAAGTCAGTATCAATGTAGATTTGCCAAACGACTGTTTTGTATTCTGAAGGATATGGATCTAAAATGTTATGCCAGTTTTCTGTGTAGGTCTGACAACAATTCCTAGGGAGAAAATATTATTAATCAGTATTTTTGGAAAATATGTAAATTCTGAGTTCTAGCTTGCTTATTGGGGAAAAAAAAGATAGCCTTCTATATTCATGCTTTTTAGTCAATTCATCACTGTTTACTTTATAATAGAATTTTCCATATTTAACACAGGTACATCACTTAATATCCTTTGCCTTTAAAATATATGAAACTTTTGTATTTAAAATCAAAATATATACTAACTCACACAGTGACATATTTTACTTGGGAAAATATTTCGTATTTAGTCAATCAACAAATATTAATTACTAGTCAATATTTAAAGCAAGATGGGATGCTATTTGACTTTTTGGATAGACTAAAGTGATTGTATCTTTTTTTTTTTTAAAGATGATAAAACTATTCAGAACTCTCACATTGGAATCTTTACAATCACTGAGTCTGTGGTTCAATCAAACTAGAATTTTCCTGAGGTCTGAAAAGTCCAGTTCAAAGTCCACTAACAAGGGAAAACTCGATTTAGAAAACACAAGCCAGGCAACTAGGAGCTGTTTGACCTTTGCTGCCACCCATGTTTATGGTTGACTAGTAAGACTAGAATGACCTTTCCACAGAAGAAACTGGGACTGTCAACTCCTCAGGGCGATAATGGGCCCTCGGCTGACAGAGTCAAAGTAGGGCGGAAAGAGGGTATGGGAATCGCTCATTCAGCAAGTGGAGGGTAAAAGAAAAACAGTGATCAGTGGAGATTAGGGCATATTTTTATTGCCAGGCTTTCTGATTTCTCTTCTGACTCATAAATTGGCAAATAAAATATATATACATACACAATATAAGTTTAAAAGACTTTTTAAACGTTTAGAATTCATTATTTGAGACAGGTTGTTGCTATGTATCCCAGGCTGGCCTGGAACTCCCACTGCAACCTCCCAAGTATTGGGATTACAGATGTGTGCCGCCGCCGTGGCCAGCTAAGAACAGTTTTTAAAGATTAAAAAACGAATACTAATATAATTGTGGTCACATTGTTACTATTAAATCTTAGATGTAATATTTAGGTCTGACAATACTGACTGAGCAGTGTGCCAGTCTGATGTTAGATGCTCAATGCGTGCTTTCGTTCCGTCCGCACTATGATTCCCAGGCACGGCACAGCTACCTTCTCCTCCAGGTGAGGAAACTAAGGCTAGAAGTCAGGGTCCTGTTGCTAGTATGCATCAAAAACCAGGTTTTAAACTTAAAGCATAGGACTTAGTGGGAATATACAACTACTCTTTTTACATTTATATACAGAATTATTAGACTAACTTGTAATATTCAGAAGCAGTCTCAAATTCACCAAGAAATATATATGCATTTCCAAGGTTGCTGTATGCTCTTCTTTCAGCCGCTTTATCTCCAAATTCTTTTGCAATAAGGAGACGCTGAAACAGAAACATTTTATTAGACATATCCTATAATAAAATTTATAGGATAATGTAATCACTGTTTAGAACTGTAACCAAGGAATCGATCTGGCCCTAAGGCCTTCCATGTGTACCTGCTCATGAGCTATAACCGCGTCCCTGAAATTGCCAAGAAGGTAATGCGTGTTGCCGAGATTTCCAAACGCTCGTCCTTGGGCTGCTCGGTCTCCCAAAGCAGTTACTAATGATAGATTTTCCCTAAGTGAAACAAAAATGGTGTAAAAAAGTTTGGCAAAACGTTCATTAATTTGATTTATCGTTTTTTTTTTTTTTTTTCTTTTCAGTGTTTGGCATTAAAACAGAGCTTTGCATATACCAGACAAGCACTCTACCACTCAGCCACACTCTAAACATAGATCTGATCTAATTTTTTATATCAGAAAAAAAATTCAAGCATTTAAACCAACAATGTGTAACATTTTTATGATAAATCTAAGATACAGAGTGATTATAGGAAACCCATCAAGAATATTCATCTGAATCATTTAGGTAGATTTCTGCACACAAATATAGTTCATCTTGGAACCCCTATTGTTTAAAATTTTATGACATATTAGGCACAGACAATTTACTCCACATAAATTAGACAACCACTGGTATTTCTGGCTTTGCCACTAAGGGGCACTGGTCTGCACTTTAAATGAAGACTGCAGATTACTACTGTAACATCTAAGCAACTGATTTGATTTTTGTTACTCCTTAGTTTTATTTATTTATTTGTCTTTTTGCAGTTCAGGCTGGCCTTGTACTCACTTTGTAGCCTAGACTGGCCTCACACTCACAGTGCTCCTTCTGCCTCAGCCTCCCAAGGGCTGGGATTATAGGCATGTGCCACCACACCAGCTTTTTTTAAAATTTTAAAACCTTTTGCAGATTTAAAAGCTTACTACTGGGTAAAGAAGATATATTGCCCCACAGCTTAGGTGGGACTATGTGATTGTATCAGCCTTACTCACTCATAAAAGTCCACTGCTGCCTGCAGAGCGTCCCTCACTTCTTCGGGAAATTCTCCAACATCCTGGGGACCAGGGTGGCCAAAACTTTTCCCTTTTGCATGATACACATTTCCAAGATTGTAAAGTGCTCGTGCTTCTCCCACCTAGATGACGATACCAGCAAAGCTTACACTGTGAAATCAGAGTCTATGTATTTATAATATATATATTATTATCAAGAGAAAGGTTTTTTATCTTTGCAGCATTAGATATTGAACCCAGGGCCTTCCTGCTGAGCTGCATCTCTAACCCTTTTTAGTTTTAGACAAGAGTCTCACTAAGTTGTTTAAGTTGCCCGGGTGGGTCCTGCTGCCTGAGACTCCCAGAGTGCTGGCATTACAGGCATGCATCCCACACCCAGCACAGGAGAGACAAATTTCTACAATGGGTCATCTGTACAGAACCAAACAAATCACTACTTGTGAAAGAAAGATCTCTCACTAATTTTTTCTCTATTTTAAATTTATTATGTTTTATCTTTTACTATGTATCTATGAACATTTTCTTTTTTAGACAACTACAGAATAAACAGAGCAGTACAAAGCAATTTCACTGAAATAGTTGGCATTTGGCCTACTCCCTAATGTTTCCTTATTACCTTGTCATTAAGCTGTCTGGAAATATCTAGGTGTCGCTGACAACAAACGATGGCTTCATCAAAATTTCCAAGAACTTTTAAGGTGTTTCCCAGATTACCACTAGCTTTGGCTTCTCCCAACTGGTCTCCAATAGTCCTGGAGGGGAAAAAGGCAAATGATATTAAAAATATAAATGGTACTAAAAATATAAATGTCATTAAAATATAAAATAGCCCCAGTAAAGCTTTCTTGGAGAACTGACATGCCTGAAGTAAGAAAGACCTTTTAGCCTTAAAACATACTTTAAATAAAAATATGAAAAGTTAACATTTGTGTATTTAAGTTAATTTTCATTCATTTAATTAAACTCAGAGTTATTTCAATACTGTTCATTCAGTTAAACTGTCTTTGGCCTAAAATTTTCAAAAGCAATGCTATTAAATTAGAACTCATTAAATGTAGTTAGTTTTCTTAACTTAATGGAAGTACTTTTTAAAGTAGTAGTTTAGGGAGGAAGAATATTAAAAAGCTTACATTAATTACCTTGCAAGAGTTAAATCATGATGGTGGTATTCTAATGCTTTGGCATAGTCATGTAAATAGAAATAAGCATTGCCCAGCTGGCTGTAAATAGCACTAAGCGTTTTTAGATCTTCAGTTCCAACTTGCACTGCTGCTTCGAAAAATGACACACCAGCACGGCAGTCTCCTGATTTACACAGTCGTTCCCCTTCCAAAGCCAGCTCTAGGCAAGAAGCTTCCATTCTATAAAGTTATACAGGACAAACATTTACAACACAGCATTATGACTATATCATAGTGTTTTAAACTTCCAGTAATATAACTGTGAACTGCGTGACTACTTTTGCTCAGACAATGCCTAATTGAAGTATATGTACATTACTGATAAAAGACCAAACTTATTTGAGGATGAAATAAAATATAAAAATATAAATGTCATTAAAATATAAAATAGCCCCAGTAAAGTTTTCTTGGACATGCTTGAAGTAAGAAAGACCTTTTAGCCTTAAAACATACTTTAAATAAAAATATGAAAAGTTAACATTTGTGTATTTAAGTTAATTTTCACTCATTTAATTAAACTCAGAGTTATTTCAATACTGTAATTGAATAGACAAAGTAACTTTGTCTATTCAAACTTCTCACAGCCCCCGAGGTCTGTTGTAGGGGATGGCTAAATGTCTTCATAAGGAGCTTCTCTAGAGCAATTCCTTTTACTGGAGATGATAAAACAGTGTTTTCTAAACTACTGAGTGTGGTGGACCTATGGACTTCCTGATGGTTTGGGGAGAACAAGAAGGTGAGGCACTGTTCTCTATGCAGATATCCAGGTGACCCACTCTCCAGTCCATCAACCCTTTCCATCAGTCATTCATCCAACCACCTACCCACCCTCTCCTTTCTCTATCTCATACACACAAAACACACACACTCTCCTGCTTTTTCTTACAACCACTTATACAGTTCCCTAAAGAGCAAAATATTTTGATCTATGAAGCACATTTTATAAGACCATTAAGTGTCAAGAAATTCTAATTCTCAAAATCTGTCCCTTCAATTGAAAAAAGCCATAAGCATTGACTCACTGAAAAGATATTTGTGAGAAAAAAAAATCTAACCCCAAACCTTAGAAGACACCCTTCAAAGCTGCCACTGTGTTTCTTCATGACTTCTGCCATATCTGTGCACTACCTATTCACTTAATATGCCTATGTTTAGCAAATTTTCTTTAAAGTGGCACACAAATATTTTGTCACTGAAAAAAGTCTTCATTCAAACTAGTATCCAAGGAATTGCAAATCTGATGTGATGTTTGTATTTATTTTCTAATGCCCATTAAACAAATATGTAACCATTAAAATTTAAACGTAAAATTATGTATGACTAGTGGTATATATTTCATCCTTTGAAAATTCTGAGTAAGCTCATCAAACTTAAATTTTGGAACAGCATTTGGTTGCTCCTCGCTAGAATTAGCTTTGAGCCACTCTAACAGAACCGCGAGTACTAATTCTGGCTGCAAAACTGCAGAGCTTATATGGAGCACTTTTAGAACTCTCAGTATCAGGTCCTACTTTTTGGGTGTAGTTTTAAAGCCTCCGGAAATTCTAATGTACAAGCTGGGATGAGAATCATTTTTAAACAGGAAATGTGAATCAAACTACTATACACCCTACTGTCATTCAAATATGATTATTTTTTTGTATCAGTAGCAAGACAATTAACATGTTTCTTCAGGTACTGTCTTTCAGTTTATAAAACTTTGAAATGCCTCAGACACATACATTAAAATGGGATTGTAAAAATAGAAAATAAATCTGATGAAGCTCAAAGAAAAGTATGGACTATGGTGAATAGAGCAAAAGCACTCCTGGTTCAGAATAAACAGATTAATAGGTAGTTTGCATATTTTATGTCTAAATTTTGTTTTGGTGTGGTACTAGGGATTAGACTGAAAGCCTCTGAACTAAGCTGCATCTCCATTCTTTATTTTTCAAAAATAATTTGTTCATTCATTTATTTTCCTGACACAGTGTCTTGCTATGTAGGGCAGCCTACCCTTCAACTCACTATGTAGTCCAGGCTGGCCTCAAACTCACGGCAATTCTCCTGCTTCAGCCTCCTGAGTGCTGGGATTACAAATATGCGCCACCATGGCCAGCTCCTATTCTATATTTTTTACTTTCAGGTGGGCTTTTACTAAACTGTTAAATTTCCCCGTTTGGCCTTGAATTTGTGATCCTCCGGCCTGAGCCTTCCAGAGTGCTGAGACAGGCATGGGCTACTAGGCCGTCTATCTTTCTTCCTTCCTTTCTCCCTCCCTCTTTCCTTTCCTTCCTCTCTCCCTTTTTTCTTTCTTTTCTTTCATGATTGACAACTGAGTTAGCCAGTGACTACATATAGCATGTCACAGACTAGTGATTTCGCTTTTGCTTTATAAGGCTCTATGTAGAATAATACAAGTAAGCTTTAGAAATAAGTTTTACATTGGAAATCTCAAATCTTTTAACCTATTCCCTCACAGTACATAAATATAAGAAACATAGACTGATGCTGTTACTTCAGCAGTCTTGCAACTAGCTGTCTAGAGGAAAAGACACTGATACTGTTACTATGTCTCTAGGGGAGAGTAGAACTGCTAACCTGATATTTCGGTTCTTATGTGCACACTGAAAGAATCTTTTCATGTTAAACTACAGACTTTACAATCACACAGACAAGGAAATCTTAATTCTCTGTATTTAATTTCCTTAACATGTCAGTTCATAATTAATAAAGCCTATTTTGTCTTTCACAAGTGTAAACTACTCATTTCACAACTGAACCCTGCTCTTCTTTACAAGTATTATTTTGTTTTAGAGACAGGTTCTCACTAGATAGTCCAGGTTGGCCTTGAACTTACTGTGTAGCTCAGACTGGCCTTGATCTTGCTGTAAGCCTCCTGACTCAGCCTTCTGATTGCTGGGATTACAGGTATGCACCATCATACCCTGCTTTAAGTATTTTTTGAAAATAAATTTATTAAAAGAAATTATTAAAAAAAAGAAATGAGTATTTGAAGATTGTCTGAGGTTACTGGTATATTCTGTTTATAAAAATAAGCCAGCTAGGGGCCAGGGATTTAGCTTAATGGCTCAAGTGCTTGCTAGGCAAGTGCAAGGTTGTGAGTTGAATCCCTGGTACAAAAACAAAAACAAAAACAAACAAACAAAAAAAAGGCACCAAAAAACTTGCTATGTAAAAATGTGATTTTTATTAAAAATTTCTTTTTCCAGATAAGACAGCTGAACCAGTTATCTTTGTGTAAATACTGAAACCAATAGTCTTCTAAGAGCTATCAAAGGAAAAATTGGAAAAGCTACTTCAATAAATACAATATTTATTAAAAATTTTACTGTAAGCATTCTAATTATATGGAAATTGCATATCAAATATTTTCACTGCTAGGAATATATCTTAAGGGTCTATTTACTCTAATTCAAAAGACAAACAGTGTATGGAAGAATATTTATAGCAGTAAAGAACTACAAGTGACTTAAACGTCCATCAGTAGAGTACCGGTTTTAAAAGTTCCAGGCTGTGATGTGTGCTGTGTGACTTCTGAGGGTGAGGAAGGCATTGCTGTACACAGCAGCACCCTCAGCTTAGGCGGACTGGGTTGTTGGCCAGGAAGTTGCAGGTGATGCAGAGTGGTTACTCATACTGTGTACAGCATTTGTATGTATAAATCAGAAGTTTAAAGCATTTGTCTACATCCATGTAAGACAGAAAAATGTCTACTTCAAATAACTATCTTTAAGCAGGTCGTGGTGGCAGACGCCTGTAATCCCAGCACTCGGGAAACTGAGGCAGGAGGATCACTGTAAATTTAAGGCCAGCTTGGGTTACATAGTTGAGTTCAAGGGCGGAACTACATAATAACACCCTGTCTCAAACAAACAAACAAATGAACAAACCAGCTAAAACAAAATAAAGCAACAAGATCTTTATCAAAATACTTGACATTTTGAATTTAATACAACATTATACTGGAACAATCAATCCAAACGATGTGATAGCTAAATTTTGTTGTTGGTAAGTGGTTTCAAAAAAGAGTTACAGATTTTGAAAAAAAGTATTTGTCACTAGAAACAATGATAGCAAACCAGGCTACATGCTGTCTGCCAAGTCCAAAGAAGGACTATCTAAAACAGAAAACACCTAAGAAGTTATGTCAGAAACTAGTACTCAAAATACAGTCCAAAATTCTCTATATTATTATTAAATCTGAGATATACTGTGACTCTATATTTTATTAGAAAAGACATTAATATTCTGGCAAAATACCAACAGCTCAAAATCAAATATGTGTAACTGTAAAAATAGGACAGGTTAGTTTATAAATTTTTAAGAAGATCATTAAATAGTAACAGAGAAAGTAATTTCATATCCTCTCTGCTGCTAAAGGAGAAGAGAATTGCTTCATCTGTTTACTAGTTGGGTTGAAAACAAAGAAGGCATAGAAGAGAAGCCAGGAAAATACTTCTCCATTAAAATACATCCCACATACAGACTTACTTCTGTTCTTCCTAATGACTTTCCGCTTTTACCTAATCGTACAATCAAAGAAACTGTATTACTAATAACTATAAATAAACACTACTATCTTTGATTGAAAAGTTTTCTTGCACAAAATTTTTTTTTAATTTCTTTAATCTTTTTTTAACTTTCACACTACATTTTAACCTTTACAATCTTCTTTATCACCTTAATTTTGGTTTCCTGTGTTCACAATCAGTAAAAAGCAAAACAAGATTAAAACCTTGATGCTAAATAATCTTAAAAGATCCAGTAATACTGATTATGTAACTCCAATCTTATTTTTTTCTCAAAAGCTTAAGAATAAATTAAGGACGTAAGAGCCAAAACAAAATTGAGTACTCTCCAACTTCTCCACTGGGAAGTCACCTTTTATAAACCCTAGCTCCATCTTCTATGTGTTCTGATTGGGTTCAGACATTTTCCATCATCAGTCTTAAAAGCGAATTTTCATCCACTCAAATTTACCATACATCTCTGACCGTTCTAGTTCATCTTGTAAGAGAAAAAGTAGCACAACATTATGCAGATTTAATTTTTATATAGTAACTTAGTTTTAAAAGTGATTTTAACATATTAATGTAATTCTAAAATGATCTAAGATACATGTTACTCTTACAAAAGAGGAACCCGATAGTCAGACATGTTAAGTGACCTGCTTACAGTTAGGTGATGGTAAAACTGAGAAATGGGGACGTTTTATTTTTGTTTCCAAAGTCAATGCTCTTTTTACCACTCCATATTACCTCAAACTATCCTTCAGGAAAGCATATTAACAACTGCACTTATCTAGCAAAATTAAAGGATTCAATTCCAAAGCTACGGTTTTTTTTACAAATTATTGCAACATATTGAAATGTTTTTTCTTCATGGTAACAATTATGAATAGGGACACATCCCAAAGAAATACAAAACTAGAGACTCTAGTATAATGAACACAACATATCCATCTTGCAACTTCACAACTACCAATACAGGTTTTATGAGTATGTATTTCATCTCTCCTCTCCTCACTCCTCCAACCCCAAGGTTATCTTGAAGTACATTCCAGAGAGCATATGATTTCATTTATAAATATCTTAGTATATATCTCTAAAAGATGAGTTTTTTAAAAACACCATTATCATACCTAAAAAATTAGTTCTTCTTTATATCAAACGTATTAATACTTTAAAAATTGAGAAACTAACCCCATTTGTTATCAATGTCTGCCTTCCCAAAAAGGTACAAACTACTCAAAAACATTCTGATGACTCTTAGGAAATTTCTCAATGTTCAAGGAAATATTCTATTTCAAAATTACAAACTATACTATGGAAACTCCTCCAGGGATAGCTGAAGATCAAATGAATAAAACACTACATGCTAAGTATTTACTATAGTAAACCTAACATAAAGGACTCAAATCATTATCCATGAGTATACAGCAATCCCAGCAAGATCTAGAATGCTAGTTCTTAAAGTACGGATGCCTGGGATTTGTTCAGTATATTTTTACTAAAAATAGTTATAAATTTTTAAGTTTTCATTTGATGAAATCCTATAGCAATATGCATGTTTGACTGTGCTGTGCTATGGAGAAGGACAAATCTCTGATCTTCCCACAGGCAGCGGTACAATCTTGCTCCTTATCCACTGCTCTTACAGTGAAGCATATTCTTCAGGAATTCTGCAGGGTGGATAAACATCTTAATGGTTCCTATGATGGTTATATCCAATAAGATTCAATGAACATGTTTACCAGACAACATGCTAAGCATCAAGGCTACCCTAAAGAGCTAGCAGTCAGGAGAAGTGAGGAGGGGAAAACAGCCATAAAAACAGATACATTCAATTTTAACATAGTTGGTGCTAAAAAAGAAATATGCGGGGGCTGGGGATTTAGCTCAGCGGCATAAGCGCCTGCCTTGCAAGCAGGCAGTCGTGAGTTCGATCCCTGGTACCAGTAAAACGGAAAAAGACAAAAAAAAAAAAAAAAAAAAAAGAAATATGCACAGGTCATAATGTGAGTACAGAGAGGGCATACCCCTACTACAGAGTTTACAGGTGATTTCCAAGAGAAATTAAAAGGGAGGGGAATTCTGGTTCTAAGATGTAGCATGAGCAAAAGCACTGAGACATGTAGCAGTTTAATGTGCAAGGAAACGGAGAATGGCAAGAAGTAATGTCTAAGGAACAGACAGAAGCCTGACTTGAAAGATCTTGTGTACTATGTAAGTTTGGCTCTGCCCTCCATAGGAGCCACCTGAGGCTTTAAGCAGAGAGGTGGCATGGCTGGTGCTTTGTTTTCTGACTGATCCCGTTGTAGCAGCAAATTAAAAACCTAGATTGAAAGAATGGATAATGTGAGGAGGCTGGAAGGAAGATTCTGGGGACCTGAACCACAGCAGTGTGGTGGTGGAGGGCGCAGATGAATCTGAGAAACTCAGGAGATTGAATGGCAACATTTCAAGCTGGCTACAGAGAGGGAGAAGGAAGAAAATATGTAACTTTCAGATTTTTGGATATACGGTCTAATGGGTAGGCTAGGGCATTTCATGTTAAAAGCTCATCTTATGCTGAAACACTTCCTTTCTCTGTTTAGAACGTGTTTTAACAGAAGTAATCTTAATCTATATACTTAACTTCCTTGGTACCACATTCTAACATGAAGCATCTATTTCACAGGATGATGGTTCTCCTCATTATTTCCTAAACATCCATTAAGACACCTGAGATTTGGTAGCAAACATTTTCATTCAGATTTTAAATTCAACCTATTGTTTCAAAATTCTAGTGTCTATATCATTAACTTGTAGTAGTTTTGACAAACAACTTACTATTATCTAATCATTTTACTAAATAATTGCTTGTTTTTATTTTATGGTTTAGTGCAATGACCAGAACTTTTAGAATAAATGTTAAATAATAACAGTGCAGACACGCTGTTTTGTTCCTATTATATCTGAAGTCATTAATATTTTCTAATTAAATGTCACGTTTAAGTGGCTTATTTATGAAAGACCACCACTTAAAAATTATAACGTAAGTTAGGTCCTTAGCCGACCACATAAAAAATCCATCATTTACCCCCAAAGACTTCAAAAACTGTTCTATTTTTATATGTACATTACATGAAAGTTACAAAATATGAAAACTATTCATAAACTTTTCCAGAGAACATTAACAAACAAATCATTTTTGTGTACGAAGAATATAAAAATTTACTTTTGAACCAAGAAAACATTGTTTACAGATGATATTAACTATAGCTGGTATATTTGGAATTATTTCCAACTGAAAACTGAAATGGTCAGAGTTAAATACATGTCTAAATATGGACTAAAAGTTATCCACTAATAAAGTAATGGTCTTACCTGTAACGAACATGAAAAGAATGATCTTCCCTCATGCTTATTAAATTTTCCTCCATCGAGTCATATTACAAACTGAGTAAAATATAAAAAGTATCTTATTTTGTGCCAATCCAGTTCTTTACAGTGAAGAATTGTTTGCAGAACATTGTCCAGCTAGTACATTAATGAATTGGTGTTAATACGTCCTAAGCTCCTGATTCTTCTTTGTTACTAATGAAAGGAGGTCAATGTCAGACAGCTTAAAGGTTCAAAATGTATCCCAAATCCTTGCATCTCTGGCCCTTTCAGCAGCATTTCAGCAACATTTCTGCAAAAGGAACACAAGATGCTTTGCTTGAAGTCCTATTTTCGAAGAATAACCTAAAGTAACCCTGAGCTCTACATAATCACACAGTTAACTTCACAGACTGCTGTCATGTCAATCAGTACAGAAAATTACAGAGGGCTTAAGTATCATGATGGGGATTATAAATAAGCATGTGAATAGAAGAGATCTGTTTGAGAATTGCTCTTTCATTTTTTACAATGATTTGAATACAACAATTTTATGTAATATTTTCTTTTATAAACAATCATGGAGTATACATCCTATTGGTACTTAAAAAGTATGATGCTTTGACTCTTTAAAATTGCTTTGATAAATCGAAAGAAAAAGTAGCTAAGTTTATTCTAAACTGTCTAAATTTATTTCTTCAAAGATATACTGATGATTAAGTTATACCTGTATTCATTTGCTCTTAAAGTAAATTTTATTTAAACCTTTTAAAGCATTATTTATATCAAATGGGTACACAAGAATGATGCAATAAACATGTATTTAACACCACCCACCATAGGCTAAAGAGCATTACCACTGCCTTTGATGTTTCCTTGGTGCCCTAATTTATCCTTCCTTTCTTCTCTCATGTGACTGTTATAATAAGTTTTCTTCATTATTCTATTACTCATTTTTATAACTTCTCCATAAATAGGCCCTAAATATATTATTTAGTTTTGTGTAGTTTTCTTAACCTTACGTTTCTCAGATGCAGCTTAATTATTGTCTACAATTTGCATAATTTTATTGCTATATTTCCATATTTTTCATTTTACCATGACTGGGCATTTGGGTCTTTGTGTTATTATTATGCTACTATGAACACTGATATTAATAACCTTTATGTACTAGTTAGGTGGCAGAACAGATATAAAGAGAATGACAAACAAAAAAGTGAAAATACTTAACAGGAGTTGAAAGAAAAGAAGAAAAAATGAGAAACTCTAACATAAATCTAACAGGAGCACTAGCAAGATAAGAGCAGTAAAGAGGAGAGAAGTAAAGGCAAAATCTTCCTAAAGACTGAGAGTTTTGCAGAATTAAAGCAGCAGTCCTAAAAGTGAATCTATGCCCACATGTATCACAGCACATCAGATATACACTACTCCTTTAAGGTAATAATTAAAAGGACAAATAGGAACCAGGCAGTGATGTAATCTCATCACTCTGAGAAGCTGAAACAGGAAGATTCCAAATTCAAGTCTTGCCTGTGCAACCCTGTCTCCGAATTTTAAAAAACAGACACTCACCATTTAATGACTTACCTGCCTAATGACTTTTGGACTTACGACAGGGAGGTGTATTGTTCAGACTCAAGAAGTTTCTTATTAACCAGTGTGGCGTGTAAAAAAACCACAAAAAAATATGATCCGTCTTTGTTTTCTTTTTGTACAGTTCAGTAAGTCTTGTTTATTATACAGTCTTGGTGTCTTTTTTTTGTGCAGAATACCTTATGTGTATGATACTGTAAGTTTGCTCGTTATACTGTGTAGTACAGTACTAGTTTATGTTGCTATACATCACAGTACTGCATCCCTAAACTAAGCAAATAAAAGCAAAGTCATTAAGAGTTTCCTTTAACCACTTCTTTGTCCTGAATATAGTAATCAACATGCTACATACAGTTCCTCACTTCATGACTAATTCAATTAATGACCTAGTTGCAGGACTAGGTAACTACAAGGAACATCTGTAAGAGGCTGGGGCTACAGCACCACGGCAGAGCATGTGGGGTTTGATTCCCATTGAGAGAGAAACAGACAAAGAAGACAGAGAGAGAGAGAGAGAGAGAGAGAGAGAGAGAGAGAGAGAGAGAGAGAGAGAGAAAGAGAGACAGAGAGAGAGAGAGAGAGAGAGAGAATTATAAAGTCTCTGAATTTTAAATAGTCTTATTAGAAAGTTTGTTTATACTCTGAGTATTTTTTCCATTTCTACCTATATCTCTTGGTTCTTCTTTCTGTTGCAATATATGAAAAAGCCCAATTCTTCTTCAATATAGCATTCTTCCCAGACTGTACAAAAAGATTCATTGTTTTGTTAATTAAGTACAGTCTGAAAGAGGTTAATAGGGAACAGAAGGGTAAAGTGAGAGGGAGGCAGGGCCTGAGAACTAGCCTTGAGTATACTGATAAAGGTTTCTAGGGGAAATGAAGTTTCCTATTAACCAGTATGGCATGTAAAAAAACCACAAAATATTCTTATTTCTTCTGCTTCTCTTGTCCAACAAAGAAAGTAGTAACTTAAGATAGTTTACAACTATTAATCTAACAAATCTCTTTTCCTTTTGTTCAGAATTCCACTGTGCCTCTTTTTGCCTTAGTAAGAAAAAAAATTACTAAAGGAAATTAGTGTGGATATTCAGAACAATAGCTCCAAAGTGCATCTAGATAAAACAACAGCCTGATAGTTGTAAAATGGGACAAAAGGAATGGTATTAGGATTTACTTAACTTGAAATTAAACTTTTTAATTTAAATATTTTTTCATCTATGAGGTTAAAATGAAATTCCAAAATTTACTAATATTTAAAATGTTAATTTCATACTACATTATTATAAATATTAATTTATAAAATGTTAATATTATAAATGAAGTTGCAAAGTACCTTACTTTATGACAACTATGTAGTTAATCACTTTTAAAACCATCAAGGAGTCAGAATGCTATTCAGTGTTGTATGAGGAGTTTTTTAATTCTCAAAAGTATCTAAAACAGTCACATTAACTATTGTAACCCCAAATATTGAGTACAGTTATCCAAGTATCATAATCCCTTTTCCTCACAATCCAAAGAGTTATATTTGTAATCCCACTGAGACGTTATTGGAATCCCACTAAGTTAATTTTAATCTACCACTTCCAAGGCAACCCATGGTGAGAGTAAAGACATCAAGACATATTCCAAGTTAAGGACAGCCAAGGGGTCCTAAAGCCAATCCCCGTGAGGATGTGTGGACAAAGGCCCTGATCCTAGGCCTCTCCCAGAATTTACTTTCTTGTGAAGAAGCAGGTGTTTTAAGGATGAGTGACAGTGGGGCTGGGGATTTAGCTCAGCGGCATAAGCACCTGCCTTGCAATCAGGCGGTCGTGAGTTCGATACCGATTCCCTGGTACCGATAAAAAAACGAAAAAGACAAAAAAAAAAAAGGATGAGTGACAGTGAGGATGGCGGAAATTACATGAGCCTGCTAGGCAGGTAGGAAGAAAAGCATCTCTGCAAAGTGCAGAGATAAGGATATGCAGAAGAATCAATTTGCATAATTCAATTAAGGTAGCAACTGAATTGTTTTAGGAGGCTATTGCTTCGGTTTCTGATATGTAAATTTTTGTGCTCTGGGGAGTCATGAGCTAAAGGCTCATACCCCGTTGAGAGTCCTGGAGCTGTTGGCTGTACCATCCCACCGTCCTCATATCTTTTAGAGAGAGCACTAATCCGAGGAAGCAGAAGACCATCTGGTGGCCTTAGAGATTACACATCAGTACCTGGCTAGCCTTATTTGCAATGCTTAGAGCCAACTGAAGAGAGAAGACAATACCACAGCCAGCTCTGTACATATCAGGATAAGGAAGTAAGTCCCCATATAACCAAACTTGCAACAGTTGTTCTATATTCAGGGGGAGTCACTAGAGTTGTCTCCCACATTAACAATTACACAACATTTATGCCCCACACAGCATTTATGCCCCGCACCCATGTGCAGAGGATACAAATGAGGGTTTCCTATACACTAAGCAAATGCTCTACCAGTGAGCTATACTACATTCACAACCCAGTATCTTAAAATTTTATTGGCTGAACAAGTAAGCAATTCTTGACTCCATGATTTACTTTGCAAGAACTCTCTAACCCATTTAGTAACAATGTGTTCACTCATGTCCCACATTACATGGAATCAAACCCACTTCATATTTAATGTTACAAATATGCATATGTACACATTAATGTTTATACATATAAATATATGTAACACACACACACACACACACACACATATATATGGTGTAACACTAGTAATGCTAGCAGACATTAAATTACAAATTTGTTCATTAGGATAAGAACATGTAATGACATGAGTAGGAACTGAAATGGAAATTACAGACTTGAAAGAATACATACAATGATTCTGGATTCAATCTCCAGTATCAAAGATGGAGAGAAATCATTCTTTCCGTATCACAGAACCTGTCAGAAGCATATAGGAAAACCAACTCATATCAGTATATAACTTATTGCTTCACTTAAATATCTGATTACAGAGTCAAAATAGGGAGACCTCCTTTATATAGCACAGTGGATTGCTAGGCTCTACTGTACTGGCAACACAAAGCTTGCAAACTAAGTAACAGGGAAAAATGGAGCACAGGTGGTTACATTTATAGCTTTTGCGCTTCTTTGAATTTATCTGTTCCTGGCTGCAATTTAAATGGCAATAACTTGTGGTCTGTTTCCATTCAAAGATCTATATAAACTGGTGACACTCATATATATAAAATTTTTTTATCTCCAAATTAGGTAATTTCAATTGTTAAACTTTTCATATCCTAGTAATTTACTTTAAAGTATAATGTTCAAATTCTCCAAATCTTTTTTAATTGTAATGTGTCAAGATAAATAGTTGCCTTTTATCAATTTGGGTAAGAATAAATACGTGAAAGAATCAACATACTTAAAATGAAGTTGTTACATTAGAATTCAGAGTATAGTTTATAGTAACAAATATGCAACATAGTAATTATGGGTGAAATAAAGTAGAATGCCAAAATACCTATTTCTAGAACAAATTCAACTATCCCAGAGAAACTGGTTATTTCCTGTCAAATTATGTACCTGTAAATAGACACTCATTTTTAGATGAATGCAATGCGGGCTGTCAGCTAATCCTATTCATTTATTTAATTTGCTGTTCTGGGGATATAGACACAAGGCCGTCTGTATACTACCAAGTACTCTGCCACTCCACTCCACTCTCTTTCTCTCCAAACTTTTGTTTCTGACATTTTATCTGAAAGACAAAGCAGAAACAAGATGGCAAGTATAAGGAACACTACATGAAAATTAAGAATAGGATAGTAAGAGTAGTTACTTAATAAATATAGAAGCTTATGAGAAGAGTATGAACTAGAAAAGGCAAAGAGTATAGTAAACAAAGTCCTTCAGAGATAACTTGAAATAATAGAGCTTTATTTTATTGTGACACATGAAGAGGAAGCAACTACTAGCAAGGAAAACTATTTTGACATCAAAATGTATCACTGACATGGAAACTAGTGGGGGAAGGTCCGAAGGGAAGAAAGTAGAACTGAGCGACTAGCACTCCTGGATTTTACACATCTTCAAAACTAAAAAAAATTAAGTACTATTGAAATTTAAGTGTTACAATAAATCACTGGCAGAATTAAAGAAAAATATCCATCAGGAGAAAAAACTCAAAGCAATATATAGCAGTCCTGATTTCTTTATTCAACATTCTCAATCTCTAAACCAATAATGTAACCAGATTGCTGCATAATGTGAATTAAATGTTGTGAATTACATATATGTATCTACCCATCTCTAATAGTGTTGAACATGGTTTTAGTATTAACAAGTGACATACATCACCATTACAGTCCCAAATTAATAAAATAAATTTAATCATAATGCTTAATTAAGCAGATGATCCTATTTGTTATCAATGTGGAGAAATGGGAATTTACCACAGACTATGCTGCAAAACTGACCTTACTACATATTATGCTTCAAAAGCTGTTTTAGTAAAGTTCTCCTTCAGTAAATATATAACCCTAAAGTATATAGTTAGGATTACAATTATGTATTACTTTATTGCAATCTTTAAGTCTGCAACAATCAATGTTCAGTTGGAGATTTTAGGTCAAGTTAGTTTAGAAAACAAGCATAATTAATTAAAAGTGTAAATGCTAACACACATTATTAAGAACTTTAGGACTGGGGTATAACTAAGTGGTAGGGCACTTGTCTAACGTGTGATTACATAGGTTTGATCTCCAACAATGCAAAATAAATAAATGAAAACTTTCAGTCATTTGTTTGCTTACAGATTGATTGATCGATTGATTATTATTTTTTCTTTTTTTGAGACAGGGTCTTCAGATGTAGTTTAGGCTGGTCTTGTACTCACTATGTAGCCTAGGCTGGGTTCGAACTCACAGCAATAATCCTGCCTCAGCCTCCTGAGTGCTACATAGTACAGGCGTGCACCACCATGCCCAGCTAAAAGAAAACTTTCAACCAGCTAAACAAACCAGATAATGTTCAAAGGATGAATTAGAATAATGGTTATATATTCCAAATAAATCTGAAGGCATACCATCAGTCATAGGGCTCCTAAATATAACTGAAATTACATGTGTCACTATGAAAGACAACAAGTAATATAAAATAAAGTATGATTAATCTCAAACTCATTTTTATTCTTGGATATTTGGGAGGTTCTGGAACCAATCCCACTTGGATAATGAGGAAAGACTGTATAAACCTCTTTTCTTGGTAAGGGACATTTATATTTTTCCCCATATAATAAAGCTAAGAGGATAGCCAAAACACATAAAACCCACACATGAAATTTCAAAGCAAATAAACACTCAGAGAAATTTAACCTAGAAGAGAAGGATTTGATTATTTCAAGCCTTCAGCTTAGCACTGTTATTAACATTTCTAGTTCAATAGTAGTTTTTAGCAATCTACACAAAGCACTGTGGGTGTGTGTGCATATCTATATCTTTATCTATAGTAATTACCACTCAAGCAGTTTCTTAAGTGTTTTAAGATTTAGCAGACCATGAAAATCAGAAATGCTGGGCATGGTGGCATGGGCCTGTAACCCCAGCACCCAAGAGGCTGAAGCAGAAGGATCTCTGTGAGTTCAGGGCTAGCCTGGGCTACACAGTGAGATCCTGTCTCAAAAAAACAAAACAAAACAACAGAAGTCAAATATCAAAGATTTTTCTGAGATGTGATAAACTAGGAAGGGACTGTTTTTATTACATACAAGGGAAGATTGCTTGTATGTAACATTCTTTTTTTTTTTTGTCCTTTTCCTTTTTTATTGGTACCGGGTATAGAACTTACAACCGCCTGCTTGCAAGGCAGGCGCTTATGCCACTGAGCTAAATCCCCAGCCCCAGTATGTAACATTCTTAATCTCTGTTACATTTTTCCCTCAAGTAGCAGTTACTTAATCAAAAATCTTCCTCCAATAAGATTATTCATTTACATTTAATAACATGAACGTTTGGGCTGTCCCAGTGTGGTAGCATATTCCTGTAATACCAGCTACTCAGAGGCTGAGGTAGGGGATTTTAAGTTTGAAACCAGTTTAGGCAATTTAGTGGAACCCTGTCTCAAATAAAAAAATTAAGAAGGCTGGGGGTATCACTTAGTGGTAAGAGTGGTTATCTAGTAGGCTCAAGGCTTGGGTTTGATCCCCAGCGTTGCAAAAAACAAACAAAAGGAGTAGAAATACTTTCAACTAAAGGAAAAAGGTTTTTCACTGAATTTTTTTTATAACAATACTTTTCTCCCTATTACTTCATTTCATTTCTCATCAACATGAACTCCAGAATAATGCTAATTTTCCTTCTGGTATATTGTCATTTTACCTACTAGTTAAATGAATAACTTTTTTGACGAGTTTTAATTGGGCCAGTTGCATAAGAAAAATGATTTCTAGCTATTATTAGCATATAAAATTGGATATATGGAAAATTACAAAAAATAGAATGATTAGAAAAAGATACTCTGAATTTTAATCAACCACACATATATTCAGTATTTTCTAAATGACTATTTGGGTTATAAAACCACAAGATTACAAGAAAAGGTCGACAACTCCTCCTCCTCTCATAAATTTCCAACTAAGCCCTATATCTACAAAACAAGTCTAAATATATACATATCTATGTCACTGTTCTTTCTTATCTATATTTTTGTTAGTAAGTAAATTTTATCTTTTTAGGGTCTACATAAATTATTGGAAAAAACTGTATAACTAATAGCTCAAAGAAATAAATTCAAAATAATTTTATAAACACATTACTATGGTAGAAAAAAATGGGGAAAAATTATGAGTAAACAATGGAGGGTATACGGCTTTGAGAAAAACTAGTTACCAAGCCACCAAAGAACATAACCCACCTCCATTTGCTATTGCAGTAGTTGCCTCATATCTGTGATTCCACGTTCCTCAGTTTCAGATACTCGGTCAACTTCAGTAAGAAATTAATAAATGGAAAATTCCCCAAATAGATAATTTATAAGATTTAAATTATGCACCACTCTGACTGGCATGATAAAATCTCTCACAGTTCTAGGATGCAAATCAAACCTCTGCCCAGTATACCCATGCTGTATATAATACCTGCTCATTAGTCACTTAGTTGTATATTGTTTAGGAGATGAACTGTCAAGGTATCACAGCCCTTGTATTTGAGTATTCCTTTTTAGATAATTTTAATTAATAATGGTTTCAAAGTACAAGAATGGAGATCCTGGCCATTTATTATAGTATATTATAACTGTTCTATTTTACTATTAGTTATTTTTGTTAATTAATTTGCTACTGTTCCCAATTTGCTATCCAAAGTTTGAAGTTTTCACTGGGTGACTAGGAAGTATTATTCCTCATCGAAAAGAAGGGAATACTATATCAATGTTGGTCAGCCATCAGCTTCAAAGAGTTGTTATATATTCACTTAAAAACCCAGGAGTGAATCAAATAGAAGTGGCCTTTATTACAGACCATTGTTTTTTCACTTAGTAAATGGCAATAAATCAGTTCATATTAACAGAAAGGCTTTTTAAAAATCAATTTCACATTATTCTTGGGTATAGCCAAAATGGCCATAGTTCCAAAATTGTTATACAGATTTAATGCAACTACAATCAAAATACCAATAGCATACCTCACAGAATTAGAGAAAACAATCCTAAAATTCATGTGGAGCCAGAAAAGACCTAGAATAGCAAGTGATTCTTGGTTATAAAGGCAAGGTAGGGGCCATCATAATCCCTGACCTGAAATTATACTACAGAGCTACTGTGATTTAAAAAGCAATGGAGGGTATACGGCTCAAATACATTTTAAAACAAAACACAAAAAAACCAGCATGGTACTGGCAAAAAAACCCAGACCTGAGGATCAATGGAACAGACTAGAAGATTCACAAACAACCCCAAGCATACTCAGCCACTCCTTTCACAAAGGGGCCAAACACATTAAATGGAAGAAAGATAGCCTCTTTAATGAATGGGGCTGGGAAAACTGGCTTTCCACATGCTGAAGATTCAAACTAGACCCATACCTTTCACTATGCAGTGAACTAAAGTTGAAATGGATTAAAGATCTAAATATTAAAATGAAACACTAAATCGGGTGGAAGATAGAATACATAGAACTCTTGAAGACACTGATGTAGGCAAAGTCTTTCAACAAAATATGGTTGCACAGGATCTATCACAAAGAATCACCAACTGGGATTTTACCTTATTGAAAAGCTTTTGCACACCAAGAGAAACCACCAATAGACAGAAAAAACAATTCACAGTGCAGGAAAAAAATTTTGTCAGCTATTCCTCAGACAAAGACTACTATTTAGAATATATAAAGAACTCAAGGAGCTGGGCATGGTGGGGCATGCCTGTAATCCCAGCAGTTGGCAGGAGGATGGTTCAAGTTTGAGACCAGCCTGGGCTACAAACTCAAGGCCTGCAGAGGGAAAACTCGTCTCAAAAAACAAAACACCACAAAATAAAAACCTCAAGAAAAATCAGATGCTCCAAATTTAAAGACTCAACCTAAAAATGAGCATCTGAAATAGACACTTCTCAGATAAAGTAGAAATGGCAAATACCTGTATTAAAAAATGTGCAACATCACTGGTCATTCAAGAGATGCAAATTAAAACAACACTGAGATTCTACCTCACTCCCCAAAGAATGACTATTATAAAGAAATCAACCAATAACAAATGCTGGCAGGGTGGTAGGGGAAACGGTACTCTTCTCCAACGTTGGTGGGAATCCAGACTGGTGCAACCCCTCTGGAAATCAGTGTGGAAATTCCTCAAAACACTAAAACTAGAGGTTCCACTTGACCCAGCCATTCCCTTCTTGGAATCGTTGTGAAAGAATTAAAAGCATCATACCACAACAATATATGCATACCCATGTTTATAAGCGGCACAGTTTGTAACAGCTAAATCCTGGAAAAGGCTCAGCTGCTCATAAACTGGTAAATGGATAAAGAAAAGAAGGTTTTTTTTATACAACAGAGTACTAGTCTGCCTTAAAGAAGGATATTCTAGTTGAATGGATGCACCTTGAGGCCATATTCTTAAGTGAAAGCAGTAAGGCACACATGGTTTCTTTATACTGCATGGTTTCTCTAGTGTGAGAAACTGTACATGTAAATCATGTTCAGTAGTCTTTGTCTGAGGACCAAAGTATACAATAGATAATTGGGAAATGAGAAGAAAATGTTAAAATGTGAAGAGGACTAAGGTGGGACGAGAGGGGGTGGGGAGACAAGAAAAACAAGAGTACAGGAAGAAACAGAAACAAAGCTGCTGTGGGTGGACAGGGGAAGAGGACTGAAAGGAGGGAAGAATGGTGGGAGGAAGAAGATGCAAGATATACTACGTCCAGGTACAAATTCCCTATAGAGAATGTTATCACTATGTGTATCTAAAGTGTACCAATAAAATAAAGAAAAAAATTAAAACAATCAACTTCAAATACATTTTAAAGCAAAAACTCCAAGCTTAAAATAACAAGAAGGGTATCCAGAGTGTTTGTGTTTAGAATTCTTCATAGGAAAATATACTGAATATGATCCTGTCTTTTCAAAAGATATCACCATTCTGTATGAAAATAAATTTTTTAATTGAGTTCAATAATGTTATGAGATGGTATGGGAAGAATAAGTGTTAGTGTAAAATGGATCAGAGTAAGCTTTCTGGAAGCAAGGAAATCTGCAGTGTCCCTTGAAGGAGGGCAGATCTGGTGCATTTGGAAAGAAGGTATTCTATTCAAGGAAAACACAGAAGCAGGGAAGTGGGAGGCAGAGACTATGTTCCAGGATCAGCATACTGGGTTAGGAAACACAACAAAGACACCTGAGAAGGCAGAGTAGTACCAACCTGTGAGGCCCTGAATATGTGGTTGAAGTATAATGGGAACCTTGTAGTTTTTTCAACAAAGAAAGACCAAAGTTAAATCTCCATTAGGAAGATAAACTGGCAGTATTATTCAGGACAGAATGAAAAGTCAGGGAATAGAAAGAACTACTGAACTACTGCCTTCTCATCTCAGATCAAGCACACTGCTTTGAACACAATGTTCACAAAGTTCTCTAATTTCTTGCCATGAAGTAGTGAAGAATTCTGTAACAGTGAGAAGATGGGGCCTTAATACATTTTGCTCCCATAGTAAAGAGTACATTGATATTCATACACATAACTCAGAAAAGCCTTAATTCATAAATGCTTTGATGAAACTAATAATGAAAATGCTATGTGATCTAGATAATAATAAAGCAAGATAGTACAGTAGTTCTAAAAGAAGGATGGAAATATTTCGGCATAGTTCACAACAAAACACAGCACCTACATGCATTCTGAAGTAAAATTAGTCCCCAAATGGGGTTCACAGACGTGTGGATTTACAAAGACACACAAGAGGCATTATAGCATGTGCTCTGAGTTCAGGGCATGGTTTAAATCCCAAAACAGTGACTTAATTACTAGATTCTAATCTGATCTTAAACTAGATTCTCAGAGTTAATGTAGTCATGATAGTTGCCTAACATGTGATGATTTGAGATTTGATAACTAAAGCACCTAACCCTATGCCTGGCTGTAGTACATAACAGAAGTATCTAATAAAGTCTAGGAGTAATAGATTAGCTGTTATTATGAAATAGAATACGTCTATTAGAACAGGCTTAAAATAGTCTAAATCTATGTTAGGTCTTCAATTTTAGAATTCCAGAGAACTACAAAATTTTACTTTTAATAGATCTTATGAATTTTTTTTTTTTGGTCATTTTCCTTTTTATCGGTTACGGGGATCGAACTCATGACTGCTTTACAAGGCAGGCGCTTATGCCGCTGAGCTTAAATCCCCAGCCCCGATTTTAGGAATATTTTATGCGTAAAGTCTTTTTTAAAAACTACTACAACCTATCACTATTATAATTAGCCTAGTACCTAGTCTCAGATTAAAATATATTTGTAGTATCCCATGCCTGACTTAAAGCAAGAACATAAAACTAAACTGCGTACCTTGTCAAAAAAGATTGGGGGTGGGATAATGCCTCTGGAACAGTATTATAGAACTTTTATTTCATAACCAGTCCACTCCTTAAATTATAAATAATAGCTCTGAAAATGCTTGCCAAAATGAGATGTAAAAAGCAGGTCTGACACTGTCCCTCTTCCCGTGAACCACAATCTTGCCTTTTTTTATTTCTAAACAAACAAGCGAAGCTAATCTTGACAAGTGAAGAGCCACACAAACGTGGCATTTTTCAGAAGCAATCACAACAGGCCATTGTCAGACTGGAGATCTTTCGAGTACCTTTCTGAAGTGGCAGCTTGAAAATCAGCTCGGCACACACCGTGGCGCACCACTACAAACCCAGAGAAAGGAAAGCCAAGAACCTACTTATTTTAATTCCACGGTGGGTTAAATTATGCATTAAGGTGTACATTTTCCACTAGTTCTGTTGAACAAAGTTCAAACATTAGTTAAAATTCTCTGATTAAGGAAATGACAAGATTTTCCACTTTTCAAAGTAGTCTATAGAATTCAGCAAAAGGTTTTAACATTTTATGCTTAAAACTTTACGCAACTAATACCAATTTCAGTTTACCGATACAAAATCGGTTGGTGTTCAAAAGTTCAGGGGTTTAAATGCGACAGAGGCAAATATTTCATAAAAACAACCTGGTTTGAGTATCAAGCGCTACAAGCGGCTACGATCTACCTCGATTCGATTGCACAGGGATTCGTACTTTTTGTTTGTCACGCCCGGAATATGTGAGAGTTGACTGTACCCTAGCACAAATTTTATATTTAAAAAATCTAGGGACCGAAGTTCTTAATCCTTACCCTCACTAAAAATTTGCTAACAAGAAAGCTTCTGAGGGCGTGTATTGGCTTCTGGTTCCTCGACGTCCCCGCAGCGCCCCCAGATCCCGCTCCGCCCGGGTGTGCCAGCTCGTGGGGCCCGCACCCAGCCCCCAGCTCGGGACAAAGTAGGTGGCCGCAGACCCAGGAGCACCCCCCACACGCGCCCCTGCGCGCCGCTCCTTGGCGGCCCCGCAACGCCTCAGTCCGCGGCCGGGGAGAACTCACCTCCAGCGGACCGGCGGCTGCGGGGTGCGCGGTGTGCGGTGGGGCCGCGGCACAGGCAGCCTCGAGCCGCAAGCGGGGGTCACGGCACTCGGGCCAGACCAGTTTGCGCGGTGTGAGCGCCGAGCCAGGCAGGGATACCGAGGGAGGCCGGTGCTGGCCCCCTACAGGTCACGTGCGCCGGAGCTCGGAACTCTCTTTACCTCCCCTCCGGTCCCTCAGCCACCCAAGGGTCCTCGCAGTGCCAGCGCTGCACTGCGCCTGCGCCCCAGCTCCAGGCGCTCCCATTCAAACCGACAACGCCCCGCGTCTTTCAGACTGGCCAATGGCGACGTCGAGGGGCGGGGCGACATCGGGGGCGGGGCGTTCACGCCTTCTCTCCCTCTGTTCCTAGATGAGACCAAAACTAGGGGGCTCCCTGTGGGGTAATCGGTCCCCCCTTCTCCTGACCTGTCCTCTACCACTAAACTAAAGTTTCTTGTTCTCTTATTTCTTCAGACACTTACATGTGGAGCAATAAATATCGTCCGGAGTTCAGGTGGGGTCTAGTCTCCACCCGTTTAAGCGGTCAGGTGCCTCCTTCCCCTACAGCTCGGTCCTGCCCTAAAGGACGAGTATTCTGGCGGCAGCTGCACGCTGTTTTAAGAAAAAGGGGCCTCTGTAGAAGGAACAGAGGGACCGTGTGAAAGTCTGAACAAGGCAACCTCAGTTCTTGAGGCTGTGTCACAATTCTGGCGTTTCCAGATGCTGGAAAAGCAAATTTCTTTGGACTGCAGGATTGCTGATTCCCAGGAAAACTGGGTGGCACATTTGGTTTCAGCAGCTAATTTCCAACTATACTAAGAATTAACTTTATTTCTATTTACTTTTCCATGTCAAGCTTACCAAAAAATAGATTTCTGTCTGTTTTTCACAAGATGCCAAGACTAGAGTCTTTAAACAACATTTCGAAGTTTTATAGAACTAGGGATTTTTCTTTCTTTCCTTTTTTATTTTTAAGAAAACATAGTTTCTGTATCCCTCTGAATTATAGTACTGGGCAACATTTCTCACCAGTGGTATGGCAAATGGTTTCAAATAACAGCATTGGTGTCAAAGTAGACTTGGGTTTGAGTTTCAACTGTGCCACTTACAGGCGATTGATCTTTAACAAGTTGCATATCCCTCTTTAACCCTAGTTGTTTCACCTATAAAACACGGATAATAAGTCCTCTTCTAATCGCTGTTATGCTTCGGTGAGGTAAGGTTTGTTTAACATAGGGTCTGATGCAGAAACCAGTCAATACATAGTGACTATTATTGTTATTACCAACAACAACCTTTAATATCAGGTTCTTACACCTAACATCTGAATTAGGTGGCTATACTATTTCAGAGGTAAGTATTATAATTCCTTCTTACTCATAAATTCTCTGTGGCTGTTGATAGTGTGAAAGCCACAAAAGAAATACAATGTATCATATTTAGCATGTCCATTATTTTGTCCATCATTTCCTTCCTGCCAGTTTTCATTGCAGACGTGACTATTTCTGATATCAATTATTTCCATCTTCCTAATCACTCAGGTTGAATTATCTTTTTTTTTAAACTAATGTTTGTTGGTACATTTCAGGTATACGTTATTACATTCATCATAAAAAATTTGTACCTATACATGACACAACTTATTTTTTCCCCACTCCCTTACTTGCCCTTCAGTCCCCTTCCCTTGTTTACGAAAATGTCGTTTCCATTTTTTCTTTTTGAATTATCTTCTAAATTAATTTGTAAAAAGGCATACAACAGATCATGTTACTTTCCTACTTGGAAACGTCTAATGATTCCCTAACTGATTTAAAATAAACGTCTAATGATTCCCTAACTGATTTCATAATGCTTATAGTGTTTAGTGTTTCACTGACTTTGTAGCTCTAAAGACAGTAGTCTGTTCATGTATTCAGAGGATAACAATATGCAATATAGCATCTATGGAGGATCTCCTTTTGAAGGCAGTAGCCATTTTTAATTCCCTATTACCTTGTTTTGAAGTCCTGCATCATTTTCATTGTTTTTTTGGATTTGGTTTTGTTCTCTTTTGTTTGATTTTGTTATATACAATGGCAAGGCAGCTGTTTCAAAGACAGCAAGCTATGGTAGCCATTTTGGATTTATTATTGTCTTGAAGACCTTTATTGCATTCATTGTTTTGTTTTTATTGGTTCTATTCTGTTCTGTTTTATTTGATTTTTACTATGTTTGCGGGTATCAGCAGCTATTTTGAAGACAAGAGGCATTATGGTGGGTAGCCATTATTGACTTCCTATTGTTTTGAAGTCCTGTGTCATTTACACTGGCTTGTTTTGGTTGGCTTTATTCTGTTTTATTTTGCTTGGTTTTATTCTCTTTAAAGTAAAAATAAAATTCAAACTTTTCTCACAACTACCTTGGACTTCTTTGCCCCTGCTTACCTCTCAATTTTCTCTAAAAATTTTTGGTTGTTATACATGTGCACAGTACATAATGATTATTGTATTCATGCAGGGAGTTAGTACTCGTGTACCTTTCAATTTCATATTTCCTTCTCCTACAGACTCATTTCCTTCCAAGTACATAGAATGTCACTCCCGCCCTGGAATTGCGCAAACCTCTGGTTCTCTCAGGACCTCCTCCTTGGCAGTTCCTTTGCCTAGTTGTCCTCAAGCTATTCAATGACTGGCTTCTTTTCATCCCTCAGCTTCCAGCTTATTCATTACAATAGTCAGCAAGTATTAATGGGGTTTCCGCTGTGTGTCAGAAGCTGTCTAGGTACCAGGAATACAGTTGTGAGCAATACAGAATAGAACCCTTGCTCTCATGGAGCTCAGTATAAGTAAGGGAAATAATCAGGTTGTGTTAGCTGCCAGTGGAGAATAAGAGGAAGGGGGAAAGTACATTCATGAAAGGCTACTGGAGATCAAGACCTCTCCGAGGAAATGGCACTCAGACTGAGATTTGAATTACAGGAGTGAGCAGGCCTTCAAGAAAAGTTTAGGGAAGAGCACTTCTGGCAAAGGGAACAGCTAATGCAGACTCCTGTGAGGACAGGTTTCTGGGGTTTGAGAACCTTGGAGAAGTCCACAGTAGCAGAAATGGGGAGAGGAGAACATGCAAAATGCCCTGCAGCTCTTTGTAAACCTGGGCAGTATGTTTGAACTACATTTTCTAAAGGTTAAAAATAAGTACATTTTAGGAACTATGGGGGAAATTTATAGACTATATTAGATGATATGATGGAATTACTGTACTGTTAGTTTCTTTAAGTGTGACATAGAATTACAGCTACAAAAGAATTTATTTTTGTATGTTTTTTTAAGGAGATGCAAGCTGAAACATTTAAGAATAAGAATCATGACATCTACAATGTATGTTCATATGATTTAGCAAAAACAGAAAGCGAGAAATAACCTAATTTTAGCAGTTGGGTCTAGGTGAAGATATATGAGGATTTTTAAATATAATTTTTGTATTATGTATGTCTCATTCTTTTTCTGGAAATTTTGAATTTTTCAGAATAAAAAATTGGCAAGAAAAATCACTCTTAAATATTTCCATTTCTCATATAAACTATATACCTTGACCAACTCTCCACTGAAAATAGCTTAACTTGCTTTATAAAGTTAAAAATACAGAAAGAGACAAGCAAAGAACATAAGACAAACTTCATCTTGACTAAACCAGATGAACTGAGGCTTTCACTGTCAAGAATGGAAATGGAGTGGAAATAAGGGACAAAGACCAGGTCCTGCCAATGTGACAAATTTAATACAACAGCCCACACACAGAGCTAGGATCTTCCAAAGGTCCCTCCAATCTTGTTCCAGAGACTGCAGAAGAAACTTGCTTACAATCAGCCTTGATGTAGAGAAGAGAAAGATGTTCTTTGAGAATTGTCTTTTTAATCAGAAAATCAGAAACTATAATGTGCTCTATAGGTTATGTGAAAAACTAGAACAGATAATTTAACCCTGTGTTGGGTCAGTGTCTCTAGCTGTCAGAGGTAGAGAAAATCACCTTTAGAGAAACCCAACTTGATCAGACAAAAATTTTTAGAGAAAATTTTCTGAGAAATGTGAGCTCTCAAATCACAATTCATGCAAAGAAACAAAGCATTACGTCAGAAGCATTGGCGCAAAAAATAACACAGTAGAATCAGATCCCTAAAGACTATGAAACTGAATAACCAGTGATTATAAAAACAGGTATGCTTAATATAGTTAAAGAAATAAAACAAAAGATTGAGAATACAAAGAACCAAAGAGAGAGAGAGAGAGAGAGAGAGAGAGAGAGAGACAGAAAACAAGTGAATGAGGCAAAATTTAAAAAATTCCAAAACTTCTGGAGTTGAAAATAGCAATGGGATGGAGGTGGAAGGACGAGGAGAAAAAGAATTGAGATGTATTACATACACGTGCCAATGTCTACAATGAATGTAATCATTACACACTGCAAGCATGTACTAATAAAAATCAACAATTTTGAAAAAAGGGAGAGATGACAGTAAGAAGTTGGAATAGCTACTTCCCAGAGAGAGTTATCTGAGCACAAATCATGAGTGGGAAGAGATGGAAGGTCAGAGGTTTAGCTCAAGGTTCTCCAGCATGTAAATCCACAATTTGACAGGCTGTGGATCATTGTCATGTGCTCCGGAGATGGTTTATTTCTTAGCAACATTGTATCACTGTTCTAACCTTTCTTGTTCCACCTAAAAATAAAATAATATGTTTGTTTTTACCTAAGAAAAATTCAGTGATGGTAAAATGAGAGGAGAAAAGAAAATCGCTTTGAGGTATTGGAAAGACAGAATTATATAGGCTTATGTGCACTGATTTGTACTAAGGGGGACGTATTCTGTGTAACCTACTGGGAGGATGAGTCAGGGCTTTGTTCTCACCTTGTGATGCCTCTGAAAGTGGCCCCTCTGTCTTGGTCTAGGGAATCAGTTTGCTTCTCTGCTTTTCCCGCAGGCCCCCCCCCCCCGCCGCCACGCAAGAACAAATTTATGACATGGATGCAATATGAAACAGGCTTACAGTTTTGATAGTGACAAAGCCAAAGCTTTTTTATTAGCATTTGTGTAGGCCATGGGGAAATATTGAAATGCGGATTGATCTTGGCACAGAGGTTGAATTTAATAAGTCCCTGCTATAAAAGACTCATATTTAAGTTCTGGCAAGTCTCAGAGCTCATTCTGTCAAGGCTATCTAATCTCTTGCACCTCCAGCTACAAATTACATTTCTCTTTGTCAC